GCTGGACCATCCTCTCTCTCTGCTGGGTGCATAGGAGGGGTTTCTTCTTCCCTGCAGCCAGAACCAGAAGAAGGGATGGGACCCTTGGCCGTGGGAATGCTCCGTCTTCACCTGCCTTCTGACAGGTCTCACCTCCAGTACTGTATATGTGCACATTTGTGTGCATGTACATGCATATGGAGACCACAGACAACCTAGGGTATCGTTCCTCAAGTCACCTTCCACCTTGCTTTATGAGGCAGGGTCTGTCATTGGCCCAAGTTCATTGATTAGGCTGGGTGCGCCCCAGGGATCTGTTTTTGCCTCTCTAGTGCTGGAATTACATGCCTTTTTGTGTGGGTGCTGGGCATCTCCAGACTCTTGTAGCTCTGCCTTCTCCCTAGGTTTCTCCTTCATCCTCTGAGACAATCACCAGGAGCTTCCCAGTGGTCTCTCCTAGGAGCAGGTTCAAGAGCACTTCTCAATCATCCTATCTGGTACCTCAACCACACTCCCTCTCCTGGGTTCCCTGGTAGCCTCTGCCCAAGATGTGTCCTCTGCCTGGGACATCCATTCCTACCCCCATTCCAACAGGCTGGCAGTTGGCATTAGTCACCTAATGTTTCCTCCCCATGGCCTGAGGCAAGACACGGCAGCCTGACACCCTCGCATTCCTCCTCCATCCCCAGTGCATTGACAGCATCCTCACCTCCACCTGGATTCCCAGGTGAGTATACTCCAGCATGGACCCCTCAACTGCCTCCAACCATCTGTGTCACATACCCAGCTTATTCAGACCTCTTCCCTGCTGTTGATGAAGCTGCCCACTTCCTGCTGCCACCCACGCTCTTACCAGCGTTGCTGACTGGATTCTAAACACTGGGCAAATGCCAGTGTGGGAGAATCAAGGCCGTGGTGTCAGAATGAACACTGAAGTTGGGAAGACCAAAGACTGGGCACTTGGCATGAGTCACAATCAACCAGGAAGAGACGTCCAGGTGAGTCTGCCAAGCAGGAGTGGCGTGTGCTAAGACCCGGGGGCTGGAGAGAAAAGCTCTAAGAGGCTAGAGCACAGGAGCCTGGGGGCGTGGACCACAGAGGTGTGACAAGAGGGCCTCCTTGGAGTTAGCCAGAGGGTAGCACAACCAGCTTTGTAATGTAGGTATGCTGAAGCTGTTGGTAGGGGCGGCTGGACAGGATCAGGGTGGACATAGGGAGCCCAAGGGAGAAGCCACTGCAGAAAAGTGGTCCAGGTGAAGAGCTGATGGTCACCTGGAGGAAGTGAGGGTGTTGGGAGGTTAGGGCATAAAGTGGTCCCGATGGCACAGGGGATCTGGGGAGTAAGGGAGCCGGGGGTGTAAGGGTCACTCACATATACCACTACCCAGAGAAGAGTGGACAAGGATGGATGAACCAACCCCCAGGATCCAGTCAGTCAGAGCCTCATGGTTGGCCATTGTATCTGCGGATAAAGAAACTGAGGCTTGGTTCTAACAAGTGCCCCGAGACTTGGAGCAAGATTCTGGTTCTCTGAGTCTGCCCACAGTCACCCACCTGGTGGTGGACAGCACAGGTACAAAGGGCCCCTCTGTGGTGAGAGGTAAGCATGCCTGGCCCCCAGGGCAGAGCTGGGGCTTCTCAAGGGATGGGATGGGTCATTTTGATAATTGAATTTTTGAGTTAGACTTAAAATATGGCCAAGATTGAAGAGGCAATCTGGCGGGGCGGCCCCCCGCAGGCAGGCTCCTCAGCCTCCACAATGCCAAGACCTTATTAACAAGATCACTCTTTCTCTGTCCACTGACCAATAACAAGCAGTTCTCAGAGCGGCTGTGTCGAGGAATTCAATTGCGGGTGTCAGAGCCCCTGCCCTGGCCACCTAGGACATCACGCTGGGACGTGCAGAGATGGCTCATGATGCAGGGGAATGGCTGCAATTTTTCCAACATGCAGCATTCTGGGGTCTGAGACAGAAAGATCTGGAAGTCAGGATCATTCAGAGAGCAGGTTCTGACAGTCTGTTTCCTCGGTGGTTAAATGGGCTGGGGTGCAGATCAAGATGACATCGGGCAGGGCCGGGGGCAGGAGCACAGGTGGGGCACTCCCTAGGTGAAATGGAGAGGGGCCTTAGCCCCTCCCTCATCTCTATATTTTTAGCGACTGCAGCTGGGCCTCTCAGGTGCTGTTCAGGTGCACACTGTGATTAATTTCACCAGGGGAAATTGATGCATTTTTTGATTACTGTTTCAGAGCCTCCTGAATTCAGCTGCTGGTAAAATTAACTCACCAGGGACAATGGAGCTTTTACCAAGGTCCAAATTGTCCTTATTTGCAGTTTGTTCTTGGCCCTCACCCAGCCCAAATAAAGCAGAATGCTCCCCCACCTCCCAGAAGAGGGAGGGCCTTCCCTAGCCCAAGGTTGGGAGTAGTTTAAGCTGGTGAATAACATCATCCTTGCTGCTTTGGATGACTGTGTAGTGAAAAGCCATGGGAGACCTAATGTGCCCACTGGGTACCCAGAACTATCTGCCCTCCACCTACTCTCAGGTACCCCAGGCTTAGCAACCAGATGAGCTCAGATGAACCAGGTGTTTCTCTCACAACCCCGCTCCCCCAGCTCATGCCCTTGCCAGTGACCAAGATTAGCTCTCACAAGAGACATGCTAAGTGTGTGCCAGGCAAGATAGCTCTTGGATGATCTTACCTCAAACCTGGTCTGAGTATTTCCTAAGTACCTTTACCAAAGCCCCACCCACCTGTGGCATAGAAACTCCAAATAGCACTTCCAAATCTGGCCTGAGGCCACCCACTGACACACTGAGGATGGGGTTGATTTGGGGCAAGAGTCTTATTGTCCATTACTTTGAAATTTTGAAGCTCATGACATCAGGACTGGGTGGAGAGGGAACTCCCACTGAACCCTGAGGCTGGGGACTAGAGGCAGGTCTATGGCTCTCCTCGACAGGCAAGCTTACACTTGGGAGGGCAACACTGTGGCCTATAGAGAAAGGAACCCCACGTGACTAAATCTGCATCTCGCACACTTGCAGGCAGGAAAATGATGCCTCTGTACAGGAAGAGGGTGCAGATGACAGGAAGAGGCCAGCCCGACTCGCCCAGCCCCTTAATGAGCAGATGGAGCTGGAAAGCAGGCACCTGGGCTTCAAGCACCCTCTCCCTCCAGCTGGGCAGTCGAAAGGCCTGACAAGTGCCCTGTCTAGGCAGCTGTGATGTAGCAGGAGAAGCCAGCCTGGGTTTGGAAGGACAGTGGGGGTCAAAGCCCTTGGCTGTCCTGTGAAGGACAATTTCAAATGCCACCACAGTCCTAGAGCTAGGCCCGGGGGGGGGGGGGCGGCGCTCCAGTGAAGTAGTGGGGCATGGAGGGTGCCTGTAATCCACACTGGACTGAGCAACACGGCTGTTACTCTTGTAATGTGAAGTGGCTGGAGGTCTCTCCAAGGGCCTGGCCCAGCGCTCAGTTGAGTAGGGAGTGCCTGCCATGGGCCAGCATGGCATTCAATGTGGACACAAGACACTCTCTAGGAGCATGGGGAAGATTCATAATGGTGGGGCAGGGGCTGGGGGCACAGAGAGGAAGGCACCGTTGAGAATCAGGGGTCCAAGGATTTCCAAAGCAGGGAAAGATTGCTTGAAGGCCCACTCAAAGCTGGCTAGGAAAAGAAACGGTAGGAACACTTCCTCGCTGGGGCAGGGAAGAACAGTGGGACCATCTAAGATGGAGACAGTTGGCTGGCTCGGACCCCAAGAGAGCAAGGAGGTAAGAGGAAAGAAAGGGGGGGCACAGGCTGTACCTGGGGGCCCTGTGAACCCTGCCAGGGCCTTGGCCTGGGACCAGAGAGAAACAGGAAGTCACCAGTGTGGGTACAAGGGAAGCACCTAGCCAGATGCAGGGCCTACCTCTGCACCTCGGCTGCTGTGGGGAGAGGACGGAAAAGATTCTGAAGAGTAGAAAGTAGCCAAAGGCTGGGGAACAGGTAGAGGGATCCATGCAGAGACAAGGACCCCTACGAGGTCAAAACAGAAAAGAGGAGGAAGTGTGGGAGGAGATGACGGCAAAATGTCAGCACGACGGACGTCGGTAGCTTGTCTGGTTGGCCTCTCCAATCTCCACAATGATGGCAGCAGGTGTAGAAGAGACTGAGTCAGGGCTCTGAGGGTGCCCCAACTGAGCTCATGTCAAGCCAGCACCTGCTCTGGAGCACTTTGCAATGAGCACGAGCCTGTGAGCTGAAGAGCAAGGCCAAGGGGTCAGTGTCACGTCAAATGAGGCTGGTGTGGCCCAGTTTGCCCCTTCCTCTCAGGGCACCGGGTGCCCTGAGCCTGGCTTGAGCCTCAGTTGCAAACAGGGTTAAGCTCTGTTTTGTTTAATTCTCAAGGACACTCAGCTCAGGAGCAAGATTAAGAAGCAGCATGGAGTAGTACAAACGCCTAGTCCCAGTTCCAGGCCTCACTCTGCTCCCTAAATTGAAACAGCACCAGCTTATAGGACAGCTTTAGGCAAAGACTTGGAGGGGCCATGGACCTGCTGGGGAGACACTGTACCCAGGCCACTCTGCATGACTCACTTCCCTCTGGACCCCAGAGTGGGTTCAGAAGTATATGAGGTCTCAAGGCCATGTGGCTCCCAGGATCCTGGTGTGTCCTGTATGGGAGTTCAGGACCTGGGCTTTGTGGCGCCACCCAAAATAAGTGGAACACACATGTGAAATGGGATGAACCGTTTAAGGGGAGTCCTCCAACTGCAGCTCTAAGTGCTGAGTTCTCAGCTCTGAAAGTGGATGTGAAGTCCACCAACATGCAGGATGCCTAGATCCAACCGCAGCATCCCAGAGCTCAAGGCCCTTCTGGTGCCTGACTGCAGAGCACTGGAACTTTCGAGGCAGCTGCCTCAAGCCAGTTCTCAAACAGAAATCATTTTGGGAACAACACACTTCATGTGACCAACAGCTTTTCTTTCCTTCGCCTCCAGGAGCCACAGTTAGGACAGAGACAATGTGATCTCAGGGCCACAAACTTTATTAGCTGAAAGTTCTCCTCATGAGCCTGGTCTGCTGGGACTGGATGTTCCTGGATGGGCAGCCCCGGGCCTGAGCTAAGAAAAGGAAAATGGGGAAAAAAAAGAGAGTTTTAGGTCAGGGAGGGTTTCTGAATTAAGGTCCCTGACAAAGTAAAAGGTAAGGTGCTATTTTGAAATAGCCTTCAAAGACAACATTTAATTAGTAAAGAATTATGGAACAGAATGACCATGAGAGCACACTGCATTCATTCATTCATTCATTCATTCATTCATTCATTCATTCATTTGAACACTGAACACATGTCCCTGTGCAAGCTGCAGTTTATTTCTCACTGGTGAAGACAGCACTGAAACTGAGAAATCAGTGTCCACTGATGACAGGAGTGAGAAGATGAACTTTTCATGCTCCACAGGCAGAAAACTGTAACTGTTCGTGGAAGATATAACCTTTGGTCCACCCTTCAACTTTATTTTTCAAAAGAAGCCATTGCTGGCTCTGCCCCCACACCTACCACACAGCAATTTGCAGTGAAAACAACTCAGGGAAATTACCTCCAAGTTTCCTCTGGCTTTCCGAAGGACTTGGTGGGTGATGACCACTGAGGAGAAAGTGAAGAAAAAGGACAAAGAATAGATCAGGGCAGGATGAAAACAGTGTAGGCAGCAGGAAGCCCCCCAAAAGGTGAAGAGCTATCACAGGTGAGTCTGAAATGTCCTCAACAGGCTCATGTTTGAACACTTGGTCCTCAGCCGGTGCCGCTGTTTTTGGAAGGTGTCCTAGTTTAATTTCTGTTGCTATGATAAAGTGTCTTGATAAAAGCAACTTTAGAGGAGAAAGTGTTTGCATTAGCCCATAGTTCCCGGTTACCGCCCATCATGGTGGGGGAAGTCACAGAGCAGGACTTGAGACAGCTGGTCACAGCACATCCAGCCAGGAGCAGAGTGTGAATGTATGCACGCCTCGTGCTTGTACTCAGTTGATTTCTCTACTTTCATCCAGTTCAAGACCCCTCTGGCCCCTACCTAGGGAATGGCTTAAGAGTCCTCCATAGACACACCAAGACGCCTTAATCCCTCCTTGAGGCTTGCCCCAGGTGAGTTTAGGGTGCGTCAGGCTGACAATTATAGTTAACCATCACAGAAAGAAGGCTGAGGAATCTTTGGCACTGTGGCCTAGCCAGCAGGGCAGGCCTTGAAGGAATATCCACGTGGCTTCCTGATCTGCCAAGATGTGAACAATCCATGAGTTACCACCACCCCAGTCGGATCTGCTTCCCCACCATGAAGGATTGCATTCCCTGAAACCATGAGCCAAAATAAATCCTTCCTCCCTTAAGCTGTTTCAGATATTTCTGTCACAGTGATGAGTAACTAATCCAGCGGCCCTGAAGCAAAGGTAAGTAGGAAAATCCCACCTGTTCCTTCCCACACCCCAGAGGAAGGGCAGACCACAAACCAGGCCTCTTCAAATCTTCACAGGGACCCAGAGGGGCAAGCATGCATGCTGTTTTCCAGAGGCAATGCCAGGCTCTGAATGGCCACCTGGCTGCCCCAGGGTGTCCTGGGATCACCTCTGTGGGTTGGGGAGGGTAACGGCACAGGGCAGGATCTGACCAGCACCCAGCTTCCTCTGACGTCCTGAGCCCTGTGGGAGGTAATGTGGAAGCAAGCCCAATTGTGAAGACCCACACCAAATGTCCAAGGAAGTTCAGCAAAGCCAGGGTTGTACGTAGTCCTTCTCAAGCAAGCTTCTAGTGGCCTCAGAGAAAGATCTTGGGCATTTTATCTCCTCATGTCCATCAGCTGGGGGAACAGCTCAGCATGGTTCTCCTGGGCAAGTTACAATCGGCCCAGACAAAAGACGGCTAGTGGTGAGTTCTGAGAACCCTGCTCACTGACACCTGAGCTTTGTCAGAGCTCTGGAAGAAGGGGAGTGCACACCACTCAGGAGTGGCCATAAAGGGACCTGGCTTCCTTCTGTAATCCTTGCTTCTCCAGCACAAGCTCCACCACTGATAAGAATAGCAGGTTTCTGAGCCTGATAATGAGTCAGTTCTACAACCAGTGCTTAGGAGGCTGAGACAGGACTGCCATGAGTCTGAGGCCAGCCTGAGCTAGAGTGGGTTAATAAAAAAGGGGGCGGCACTGGAGAGATGGCTCAATGGTTAAGAGCACTGACTGCTCTTGCAGAGGACCTGGGTTCGATTCCCAGCACCCACATGGCAGCTAATAACCATCCTTAACTCCAGTTCCAGGGGATCTGGTGCTCTCTCCTGAACTCCTTGGGCATCACATGACACGGGTGCATCCACCTACAATACACTCATAAACATAAACATAAAAATAAATATTTTTTTAAAAAAGGAATCAGCTCTAACTAGAGTGAGGGTAGGGAGTCCCCTGCTCCTGGGTGGGACAGACACAAGCATAGGGATCCAGGCACTTGCCCTGTGCTGCCTGGGGCTAAACGGCACTCTCAGAATAGCTTGTTCTGTGGTAGCCTGGAAGAAATGTTTTTCTTGCTTTACAAAAATTTCTACCTGGACATAAGGAGGTCAACAGAGTGGGCTTCATGTTTATCAGAGTAAAGGAACTTCAAAGGTGTTCTCGGCTTTTCTATGCTTTACCCCACGGGCCCAGAATGCATCCAGGGAGCTCATATCCCTGACCTAGTGTGCAGCTCTAGGGTGGACAGGAATGTGTACACACTTCTGGGCAGAGACCATCGCCTTCTCAAGATTCACCAAGGGCCTATGACCCAGAAAATGTCACGGCATGAGGGTTAAAAATAATCTTGAAAGAGGACTGAATGTACCCAGTGAACCAAGTTCATCATAAGAGCTAAGGATCTCCTGGCCCAAGTTTTGATTGTCTCTCTTACATCTAAACAGGTGTACCACCCATGTTCCAATACTCAGAAATTCCTGCTGTGGTGGGAACAAGGAGGCTCAAAGTGGTAAAGAAGGCACCCTGAATCAGAGTGAGCCCAGAAGAGAAAAGTCACACCAGAGCCACCCAACCTGTCCAGGGCTCCCCCACCTCATCAGATTCTGGCAAGGAAGACGCCCACCTGCCCCAGGTCAGCTGCCAACTGTGACTCATTGAAGACCCCAACCCTGTGATGCAAGATTACTACCCTCACTTGGCAAAGGAGGGCCTGATGCTCAGAAGGGAAGTGGGCAGTGTCAGGCCCTATGATCCATGAGTGGCAGGTCCCAGGGCACCAGGTCTTACCCTTTCCCTGTGCTGTCCTGCAGACTCTGGAAGTGTCAGTTCAACCCAGGAATGGGCTAGCCTTGGCTCTTTCTCATATTTGTTACCATGTGGGAAAGGAAGAGGGGATACCATGCCAACCAGCACTCCATCACTTCAGAACCAGGAATAAACTTGGCAGGCTGGTAGGCTTAGGGATATTTAGGGTTATTTATCCCCACTCATCAGGATAAAAGACAGAACCTGAAGCAGAGGCCAGGCCCATGTCAGTCAACCCCATCCTGCCCTGAGTCAGGCCAGCTCCAGACCAAGCCTATGAGACACTGATGGATGAACCCCTTCCATAGGCAGCACATCTGACTGAAAGGGAAGAATTAGCATCTGCTGAGCATGTGCTCTGTCCCAGGCATTAATGACACTGTCCCGATTCTGCAGGTGGGAGACTAAGGCACTCTCTTTATGGTTTTGACTAGGACCCAGGCTCCTTTGGACAGCTGAGTTTGAAATTCCTGTCCCTATTTAGGGAAGAGGAACTTAAAGCTCAGAGCAAGGGCCACTAGATGCAGGTCACACAGGAGGGCAAAGCTCTGAACTGGGTTCACTGGGCTGTGAACAGTCCTCACTGGTCTGGAATGAAGCACAAAATGGTTCCAGTCCTCTGATCTGCCACACTAGTATAACTCATCTGAACTGAATTCTGCCCACCTCTCAAATTCCTCACCGGAAGCCAGAGTCAGCAGCAGGAGTCTCGTGGCTGTTCAGCAGGGACACCAGTGCTGGAGCTCTACCTGCCCGGACTAGGCTGTCTCCTGACTCTCCCATTTCCTCTGGCCCCTGCTGCCCTTGGAGTCTAGCCCAAATGCTCCACAGTCACCTGAGTATGCCCAGGACTAGCACTGTCACTCACACCACCTAGGGCTCCTCTTCTCCACACATGATCTGAGTCTCAGTCAGACCTAACACCACCCACTGCTGTGGGCCAATCACCCATCTTTCAAAGACGTCCCTTTCCACCATGTCTTAGCTCAAGCTCCAGTCTCCCCTGCCTGCCTAAGGGACTGCTGCAGATCTGCCCAGCCTCAAGGCCCCTATGCTCAGTCATGAGATCTTCTAATACACACACAGACCACGGCAGCCCCTGCTGCTCCTTCTTGAGTCCGGCCTACAGGCTCTTTATAACCTGGTCCCCACTTTCCCTTTCTTATGGTTTGGGTATGAAATGCTCTCACAGGCAAGTGTGTTTGAACATAAGGTTCTCAGTTGATGGCACTGTTTTGGGAGGGTGTGATTTGAGGCCTGACTAGTGGAAGTAGGTCCCTGGGGGTGAGCATGGGGATAATAGCCTGGTCCCTCTAGTCCTGTCTCTGCCTTCTGTCTATCACATGGTATGACTAGCCACCTCACACTCCCACAGCCAAATACAGGAGCTGGTCCCACTACCACGTCTCCCCCTGTGATTAACTGTTCCCATCACTCTCTGAACTGTGAGTTAAAACAAACGTCTCCTTCCTTCAGTTGCTTCTGTCAAGTACTGTGTCACATGACAAGAAAAGTAACTAATATATATTCTCCCTCAAGCAAAGGCCTTGGCCTGTCCTAAGCATGTCCTGGACCACTAGGTGTTCTCGTGTGTCTGAAGCTGTGGCTGGGGGGCCACAGAGCAGTCTTTTAGAATACTGTTCCTGTTGCTGCTGTCTGACTGACATCCCTCAGGATCCAGTCAGACCTAATCCTGAACCAAACCCACAACCAGAGCCTTGTATCACCTCTCAGGTGGCCTTAGGCAGGCCCTCAGCACTTGGCCCTGAATAAAGACTTATGGCACCTCACTCTTCCTTGAAGTTTAAGCTCCTACTGACAGAATCCACCTTGCTCCCATGTCCTCAGAGCCTGGGAATGGGACACGCAGGGCAAAAGCCTAGGGCCTGCTCATAACTCAACTTTTACTTGCAATTCATTTTCTGGACTCACAGTCTATCTTCAGAAAGCTAAGGAGACTGCCTACTTACAAATAATCTATGCTCTGTGCCTCTATGCAATGCCCCAGAAATGCTGGATTCTGCTGAGACAGCAGCCCTAGGCTACTTTACCTTAGAGAGGTCAGTGCTGTCCTAAGACAGGCAATCTGACAGGCTGACAACACGGGCTAAGGGCTGGGCTGCTGAGAACCTGGGGTCAGTGCTCCTCTATACACTGGTGAGGGACGCTGAGTGTTTAAACCAGGACATGCATGGCTATTGGTAGACTCTGAATGACCTTATTAACCTTTCTGACCTCAAATCCATGCCCTCCTCTGGGACCCACGGTAAAGTGGCAAACAGAGCCTTCATCACACAGGGCTATGACAAGCTGATTTTTTGGAGCTCTCCTGAGCTCCCCTTTGAAGCCTCTCTATTTGTCCTGGTCCCTTGTCCCCTCCTGCCTCAGCCTGTCACAGTCAGCTGTTTATACCACCAGCTAGAACTGTTCTGGTTTCTCATACACAAAGCCCTACTTCTTGCATCTGTCCCTGCTGTTCCTGTCCTAGTCTGCTACTCCTTTCAAACTCAGCCCTGGGGTCCCTTCCTATAGGACACCCTCCTCCCAGGACAGACAGGTGCTTGTCCCACTCCTAACCACAATACATAAGCCACCCATCTGTCTCTCCCGGAAAGGGCAATCCTGGCAGGACTGACTATGTGGGTTGGAAAGGATGAAGTAGGAAAAGAAACCTGCAAATGGTAGGCATGATCACAAAAACCCGGGCTTCAAATAGCACAAACTAGCGCTGCACTGTCAGCCCTCGGAGGCAGACAGTGGTGAGATGTGGCGGCCACCCCGGCTGCTTACTTACACTGATCAAAGATGACTTTCTCCTGGTGCTTGCTCTGCTGCAAAAGCTTTGCTGTGTTCTGCAGGTTTTTTTCTTGTTCAAACAATTTTTTGTGTAGTTTGGTGATCTCTGCCTTCATTTCTCCAATCTAAAGAGAAATGAATTAGAAAAATATCATAAAGCACCACAATTCATAGGAAGAACTAAAAAAGAAAAATCAAAAGATGCTCAACTTCACTAGCAAAATATTTGAGTTTTAAAAGCTAGCAGCCCTTTTCTGCCCTTCAGATTGACAGAATTGGATAAAGTCCAGGGAGGCTGAGGAGCAAGCATCCCAGGACCACTGGCAAGACTAGGGATTGGTGCAGGCCAGTGAGGATGCCCAGGCAACACCTACCAAACTATAAATGCATATATACCTCAGACTCAGCAATTCTGCACCACAGCATCTACCCCAAGGAATAACGTAAGCCCAAGAAGATACCCATCTCCACAGGCATTCACCTCAGCACTGTGAGTGGCAAGGACAATAAACAAACTGATTTGTTTCATATGAATCTGAATAAATAAATTATGGTACTTACACAGAAAGGAAGAATTTTACAGCTATTAAAAAGGATATTGTAGAGCTCTTTTTATTGATTCAAAAGATGATTATAATTAGTGACAAAAAGCCCGAATCAACAAACTGAATCCTAGGTTGGAGCATTTCTGTTTCATAAAAAGAAGCACAGATATCTACATCTATAGATTTATGTATCGGCATGACAATAAAACATTTATGGCAATAACTGTAAGAGACGTGATTTTGAATTTTTTGAAACTTCTTTTCTTTACAGAGATTCTAATGCTGATTTAATTTTTTAATGTTTAACATCTTAACAAGATAATAAAAGTATTACTCAGTGGAAAGACTATCTTTGGTTTCTCAGAGTGGAGTGTGGACGGAAGACAAAGCCAAGCCCTGTCCTCTGAAACGCACATACAGCAGAGACTCCCTCGACTGGCTCCAGGGCTGAGGACACCCCATTTTCTCTTGGCCACCTTGTACCACCTCTGCTCCCAAGAAAGGACAGAGTGAGTTGTCAATTTATGAAGAATCCATTCAATTTGTTCCCAAACTTGTTTATGGCAGCTGTAATTATAATAAAATCACAGAATCTAATTAAATATTAAGTCAACCTGTGAGCCACACATATGGATGGAGAGCTGGCTGTAGGAAAACCAGCATATGCTTCAGGGAAGACCAGAAAAGCAAGTCACTGAAAAACACTTTTCTGGCAAATTAGGTGTGGGTGAGACAACTGTAAAAGACGTGGGAGGAACAGTCTAGAAGAATTCTATATTCAGATTGCTTTGCAAGTGTCTTCAGTTTTCTCTTCATCATAAAGAAACAGAAATTGGAAGTGACAGACATACATTATGGATGTGGTTTATGAAAGAAAGAAGATGTGGAACTCCAATCAGCAGACCCATATTCAAAGAAAAGGCCTGGCCCTACATCAAAAGAATGGCAAATGAATGTACATTTATCTGTTTTAAGTTAGAACTAAAATGTTTAAGGTATGTATCATTCTTTGATTCCCTAACTTAACCTACTTTTAAGATTAACCAATCATGTCAGGTACAAGGACTTCAATGGTTCTCCAAAGCAGACCCTAATTTGATCATTAGATTTGCTTTGATTCTCTACTGTAGGTCAGGAGCCCATGAACATCTGGCTTCTGGTCAGGGTCTCATAGGCTACAAACTAACACAAAGTCACCCCACAGTTCCACATCTGTGATACTGAAAGAACAACCTGCAGTGGGGTGACACTCAAAGGGGATGATGGAAGCCGGGAGGGCAGTCGGGGGGTGGGGGCTCCTATCTGCCTAGTCCACCCACTGCTATTTCTATCCTCAGCTCAGTATGGGACTTACACAGGAACACACACTTTTGCAGCAATCAAAAATGATGCTTCAGGGCTTTATTGACACATGATTATAATTAGTGATAAACGAGCTCCAAACCACAGACTGCTTCATAAAACTGAACATACATATCTACAACTACTGGGGTATATATTGATATGGCAATTAAGACATTAACAGTAGTACCTCCAAGAGATGACTTCAAGCTGTTTGAACAGGTTTGTTTGTGTGTATGCCCATGTGTGTGTGTGGTGTATATACACGTGGTCTTCACATGGATGCGTATACATGTAGAGAACAGAGATCAACATTGGATGTCTCCCTCGGTTACTACTCCCCTTATTTTTTGAGGCAGGGTCTCTCACTGAATCTGGAGCTCACCGAGTCAGAAGGTGGCTAGCCAATGAGGATCCACCTGCCTCTGCCACTACCCCTCCCCAAGCACTGGGATCACAGATGTGTCCCTGCCAAGCCTAGCTTTTACATGGCTGATGGGGACCTTGTGTTTATATGGAAGGAATTTTCACAACCGAGCCATCTCCTCAGCCTTATTCATATATCTATTTAAAACTACAATGCTGATTTAAGGCCTCAACTAATACACCTTCCTGGCTTGAAGCTTAAGGAGCCATATCACAGTGGATTGCAGCAATGGCTCCAACCAGCAAAGAGCTCCTTTCTTCCCTCTGATCCCTGTGCCTGCTGGTGAACACCGGGTGATCTGACACCATTTGCCAACTTGCAGGTGATTTCTGCTAGCACTCCCCTAACACCCCATACATATCCAAACCAGCACTTAAAACAAGGAAGTTTAATTATTCATGTGTCTGCTGTTCCACTGGATTTAAATCTTCCTGTTTATTGCATGAAGAAACCACAGTAAAAACAGAAGGGGTTCCAAGGCCCAGCTCTGCTACTTCCTGGCTATATGATGCTGAAGCAAACCATGTAACTCCCCAAAGCATCAGCTCCTACTTCTGGAAAATGGGAGTAAGAACATGTAACCCAGCCAGCCAGGAGGACTTTGAATGTTGCCAACCCAAGGAAATAATGAACAGCTGGGGTTATGGATACGTCAGTCACCCTGATCTAACCATTACACGTTGTCTACATGTACTGAAAAGTTGCAGTGTACCCTGTAAAAATGTATCATTGTGTAAATTAATTATAAAATATATTTAGAAGTTAAAAGGCATAAGGATAACATGATACTCCATTTCTGAATAAGTAAAAATGAAAACCATCTAAGTCCCCAAGGCCACAGTAATGGGTAAGATTAAACGCTGGTGTCAGCAGACGGTATGGCATAGGGCACCAAGTGGGTCCTCTAAAGGATGGGCAAACACAGAGCTAGAAGCCATACAGTCAAGCTCTGCCTGACTCCCAGGGCAGGTTTTCTTGCTTATTTCTTTCCCTTTTATGATGAACACCTCAAACAGTTGTAAAAGTAGAAAGAACCGGATAGGAACCACCTGGAACCCAGCCAACTCCATCCAGCATTACCAATTCAAGGCCAGACTTGTTTCATCTAAAGTCCTGCTCACCCTCTCTCCAAGATTATTTTGAAACCAATCTTAGAAACCGATCATGTCATTTCATCTATAAAATATTTTCATATACATTGCTAGAAAAGATTTTGTAAGCCCATGATATCATTAGCACACCTAAAAAATGAAAATAATTTCTTAGTGCAGGTTGAGCATGCTAATCTGAAAACAAAATCCAAAAATCCAAAATCCAAAACTTTATAAGCAGTTGTATTTTGTGCATTTCTGATTTAAATTTTAGATTAGGGATGCTCAACCTCTAAAAAGACTATCAAACTCTGAAAAATATCCAAAAATCAGAAATACTCCTGGTCCCAAGCATTTCAAAGGACGGATATTCCAAGGATATTCAGTAGACGTAGTCCCTGACTGCCTCACAATTTCTCATCTCTTCAGCCCCACAATTTTATTTTTCAGACAATTCATTTGATTCAGGATCCAAAAAAGATCCACATCATTGTACATCAATTTCTTTTAATTCTGTGGTTCTCAAAGCCCCTGGGAAGACTTGAGAGACTGATGTTAGGGCCACTCCAGGGCTGGCTAGAGTGAGGCCTGAGAAGCCGCACTTCCAATAAACTTCCATGTGACGCTGATGGTACAGGTCCAGCATCCACACTGAGAGCCACTGTAAACCTCCGCTTTCTCCTTCCTTACTAGGATACGATAGTTCTAAGCTCACACTGCACATCTACCCAGGCTAGACACAAAACAGTTCCAGCAGGAGCCCTGACTCTGCCACTGGGAAGAGGTTCTAGAAACCTCCCTTGGGATGTCTGGGGAGCTTGCTGCACTGAATCAGATTTGATTTTTGCAAACTTTTATGTGGAGTAAGTTTTTACAATAGATAATATGTGTTCATATTGATGTTTAAATTCAAATGCAAGATTACAGGGCTTTTATTCCTCTGATTTTATACTTATTTTTTTCTCCTACAGTAAAAATCGGAGTTCTTAATGAAATCAAGAATTATTTATCTTGCAATATGGGGGCCAGTGGCAGACTTCTGCCACTGAGCCTGCTAGCCTGAGTTCAAGTCCATGGAGGAAGGAGAGAATCAACTCCTACAATTTGTCCTCTGACCTCCACACACATACCATAGCATGTGCACATGCACCCCCACACAAAATAAATGAATGTAAAGGAAACTTTTTGTTATCTTACAAAAGAAATAGTTTCTGAATATCAGTGTCTATAAAAAATAACCGCTGAAAGCAGTTTTGTGCTTTTGGGTAGCCTTTCTGCCTTTAGAGCATTTCTCCTGGGGAGTCTGGTCAAACCAGTACGATGTGTTACTGATGCCTGCCTGCATGGCCATGTCCTAGAGATGTGCTGGCTTGTCTCCCATTGCTACGAACTTTTAGACATTGCTCCCCTGACCACCCATGTTGATTTATTTTATTTATAACTGTGTGAAGTATTTATATGGTTTCAAAGTCAAATCTATAAACAAGGCTGACTAGAGAAATCACCTTCCATCCCTGCTTCTTCAGTCTCTCCCTTCACGTTCCTACTGTAAGGATGTGTCCACACATTAGTAAGCCTCCACACACCTTTCTCAGATTAACCAGTGCACACATTCCAGAGCAGTTCAGCAGCTGAACGGGATGATGCATAAATGTAAAAGGCAAACAAACAGCACTCAGAGAAGGAACAGGTAGTCAAAAGCTACTGGGCTTGCTGCTGCAAACCTGGAAATCTGCTTCACATGCATTTTACACCAGGCCAAAGGCACCACCTGAAAAACAGGCAGTAACAGAGAAGTGACCAGAGGCAGTTTCACACCACAAAGGGGTCTGTACATACGAGCAATCACACTGGTACATCTGCTCTGAAGTTCTATAACACACAGTGTACATAATTACCTGAGACACCTTTGAGAGAAGGGCAAATTGTTACAAAGACTGACAGTCCAGACTGATTTGCAACTCTAGGAAGATCAACAGGGCTACAAGTTTAATGTGTGCATATGTATGTATGCATGTACATTATATATAAACTGCATTGTGTCATTTGACAAACAGCTGCTGCTGTGTGCTACGGGCAAAAACACTGCATTAAGGGTGAACTGCTTAGCTCAAACACCTTATCTTTAAAATAGCTGAAGCGGGCACTAGAGTTCTGGAGTACAGGAAGAAATTATTCATTCATCTATCTAGTCATTCATTCATTCATTAAAAAACATGAACAAAACAGACACAGCCCCTAAAGAAAAACAGAGAAAGACAGACATTAAGCAAACAAATATATAATTACAATGTGATAAGGACTCTGATGAAAGAGAAGATGACACTATGGCTGAGTGGATCAGGGAGCCCTCTACTGATTCAACGTGTAAGACTTGAGGGTGCAGGGGAGCCAGCAGGGAAGCACAGGACACGCATAGCAGGCAGACTGTCCATGTCACCTAAACCTCCAGTGAAAAAGAATCTGTAGGTTAAGAGAAAGGAAAAGCCACTGGGGCTGGAGCCTAGGGAGTCCCACTGTCCTTCTGACACTGGTCTTCTACCCAGTGCCCCACCAGCAAAAAGTAGGCACAAAATTATTCTCTCATGCTACACAAAGGGTTATGAATCTCTTTGGGCTTACTGTACCTAAATTCCTCCCCAGGATAGGTTCATCTGGAGGCCTTCAGTGTGCTGGGTTCTGAAGGCCTGTGCACTGCCTGAAGGATTAACTAAATGAGGGGTGACCTGGCATGCATGTTTCCCTTTTGCTTTCCTGATGGCCTTTGGCAAGCATTTGTCTGTCCACTCAAACGAAGAACAAAATATCCATTGGACCACTGAGCAGAGGTCTAACTTCCTTTTCCAGCAAGGTCCTCTGCCGAAGCAGCTGCTGCTTAGTCAGGGTATTGTGCACTGTGCCAGGATCCCCTGAACCCCACTGATGGAAGTCAAAGCAGAGATGCAACTGCCTGGCTCCTGACGTGGAGCCGCTCACTCTCAAGTAGTTAAAACAGTTTTCAACATGGCCCACTCAAATCCAGTGGAAGCTATCAATAGGTCAGAAGGCCCAGACAAGGTGCCTAAGGTGCAAGGTACTCGCTGCCCCATAAGGACAAGCTGGATGTGAAGCCCATGACATCGAAAAAAACCTAAGATTCAGATATGCTTTCAAATCAGCAATACAGCCCAGACCCCAAACCTCAGTATCCCCATGTATGAAGAGTGGACAGGATCCCACTTAATAATGGTAAGAACGCATCACGGCCACAACACACTTGGTGCCAATGTCCTCCCTGATACACACCTCCCTGGTGTGGGAACGTTAACTGTGGGCCAGTCCTGGGTTGGGCACAAAAGGGACAATGACACAGGCCCCACTGGTACCCTTGAGCCTCAGAACCTATGTCATCCCTACCTGCTCAAAGTGAAGGGGACCCTGGTCATCTGTGGGGACTGAGACTCTCCAGAAGAGCTTCAGCAATCTTGAGGCCTCTTCCAGGAGCAGCTTGGCTGCATTCATGCTGGAGAGAAACTTGCTCAGAGGCGCAGAGTGTGGACCCTATGGGGGATGGCAAAGCATTACATACTATCTTGACAAGGTCACATACACACATAACTGAACAGGCAGCAGAAAGCTCCAGACTGGGGCTCCTGCTTGACATAATGAACAGGAGGAGCTAGTACAGGACACTGGTGAACTGTAGGCTAGAAGGGAAGTTTGGTGTTAAACTTAGCCCAATCATTAGCCGTGATTAGTAACCACTGGCACTACAGGCACTAAACCAAGCAGACGATCCTTGGAGGCACCGATCCCACCACCTCAGAGACATCAGAGCAAATGACTCCAACTGAGCCTGTGGGGCAAAACCCACACTACCACAGGCAGTGGCTTATTGAGAAGGCATAAAATCAGCGCCTTGTGACTTCTCTCCCCCTCTGAACTAGGAGAAGTAAACTCAAGCAGGGAGAAGGATGTGAAAGGCGTGAGAAAACAGAGAATGTGATACAGAGGAAGAGAAATAGAAGGAGGAAGAGGGGTACTAAAAGCATTTGCCTTCACAACTAATAAGAGAAAACTGCACATCTGTGTTAGATTTCAAATTGACAAAAATATGAATAGAATTCAATGAAGACAAAGGTATTCTGAGGGAGGCAGGCGCCAGCCACAGACATAATCTCTCTGGAGAGTAATATATTAATAATTATCAAGACTCCTAAAAAGTTCACAGCCTTTGAACTGTAAGTCCACTTCATACCTAACAAAAAACAGAGACTGGTGTATAAAGATGGCTCACAGCAGTTGACGGGCCCACAAACAGTGAAAGAGCAGATAGCTGATGCTATATCCGCAGTAGCTTATCGACAGCCATTTAAGTCAAGTTCTAGAAAAGTACTACTACCATGTCAGCCAAAATATATGAATCTCATATATCTCTGAGTAAGTTTGATGAACTTTCGGAATGTCCGAGAGAGAGAGAGAGAGAGAGAGAGAGAGAGAGAGAGAGAGAATAAATTTTAAGTGCTGACTTTTAAACAGTATTTGAATAGATGTTTTGTTTTTTTGCTTTCCTGCAATTTCTAGCTTTCAAAAGAAAATTTTTAATCTTTCCTGGTAAAATTTTATGATAAGAATAGGAATTTTATTAGTATTCACTTATTTGGTAATATCTACCAGGCACCTACTCTACACCAGGCATCAGGGAACTAACTAGGTACCAGTTATACAACACTCAGCTGAAGGACAGCACAGCTGCTTTCATGCAGTTTTTCATCTAGTGGAAAATAAAATGCAAAATTAATTTTTAAAAGTATAGCCAAAAAAAAGCCAAAGCAAGTATCAAGAAGCTCAGTGTCTTCAGTGAACTCCTCAGAGCGGCCAGGGAAATGGCTGAATGGATGAAGTGCTTGCTGTACAGGCAGGAGGACAGGAGTTTGGAGCACCAAGATTCATGTAAAAGCTGGACAGATGTGGTGGCAACCTATAACCCCAGGACTCAAGAGGCAGAGTCAGAGGATCCCTGAGATCAGCTGGCCAGCTAGACTAACACCATCAATGAGCACTGTGTTCAACTGAAAGACTGTCTCAATAAATAAAGTTGAAAGAGCAGGACCCGATATCAGTCTCAGGCCTCCATACATATGCACATATATGTGCATCTCCACACACGTGAGAACAGTCATATACATATGCATGCACACCACACACACATACACATAGGGTCCAGAAACTATGACTCAAGGAAGCTCAGAGGTCTAGTCTGGTCTGTCTGGAGCTCTCGGGCTGATGTCTGTCAGGTACATGATGAGTTGTATCTGTCAGACTCATGGGTCAGTGACCAAGGCAACTTCAGATGAAGAGGATCCCAAAAGGATGAGTTAGGGAGAAGAAGGAGCTAGAGGAGTCAGTGAGGAATTCCAAGGCAAAGGACCCAGAGGAAGCAGGGCTAGAGACAGATGTGGTAGGAAGCAGGGACAAGCCCACAGCCCACAGCCCAGAGTAGGGCATGTGAGGAAAAAGAGAAACAACCAGGTCAACCCAGCAACCAGAAGTCCTCAGAGTCGCTTCCTGGGGAGAAGTGGGGCCAAGTGACCAGCACTGTCCTAAGAGGCAGAGGCACTATCACAACAGAAAGTGTTTCCAAAGACTGAGAACAGAGTCAGTTTTCAGAATCTCTAAAGTGGAAATGGCATCATCTACTTCACAGGACTGTTCTGAGGAGGAAATAAAATATCCAAAGATTCCCCTGCAGGAAGATGATCTTGAGGTGGTCAAAACCTCTCACCATACCAAGCTAACCACAAGGAGGTTACAGAAATTATGGTGAGGCACAGTAAGGTATGTGCTTGGTATGGTAGGATGCAGCCTGGTCTAGTCAGGTACTATGTGCGTGAGAAAAGGACTGCAGCCCCACAGCAGGCCCAGGACCTGAGCAGATAGGTCTGCCCGGGTGGTGAATAGGTAGATGGGTAGATGAATGACAGGAAACAGGGGGGCGGAGGGATAGAGGGTGGTTATAAGACTAGAGAGAAAAGGCAAGTCACACAGCAGTACAGCAGGCCCCTGTGAAGCAGTCACAGTAACACAGGGACCAATCTCAATAAGCTGCCCCGCCACCACCAACAGATAGTACCCCCACCATCCCTGACCTCTGGACCTTCCTGCACACCTCCTGATCCCTCCCTCTAGGGTTTTATTAAGGATCAGTGCACAACTTGTCTTCCAGGGTCCTCAGCCAGGCCCTCTTGCTTACTGAGAGACCCGTAAGTTTCTTCCTCCCCGAGCCCTGCAGTAAGGTTACCTTTGTCCCCAGACCTTCACTTCTGGGGCTCAGAGCATCTCGAGTTTGAATGTCCATCTCAGCAAGGAGCCTCTGGCCCTGGCTGATCTGCTTACAGAGAACATCATAGTCCTCAATCAGGCCCAAGACATGGTGGCCACTCTTGCTGGCCCACAAGTGTTGGCCAGCAACCAGACAGGACATACACTGGGGACTGGTGGTCAAACTGTTGCTATCACAGGAGAGGGAGTCGACATCATGTCTGGAGAGCTGAGGAGTCTCAGAAACTAGAAAAAGAGAGGTAAAATGTTAGATCTACTTGGAATGGCACCGTTTATGTTTAGAGTGCACAGGGGAAAGGGGCCTGGTCTGCAAGCCATCAGCTATCCCACCCTGGGCAAGACTCAAATCAATTCAACCAATTCTTATTGAGCATTCACTCTGTAGAGACCCGGGATTCCCAAGGTGAGCCATGCTGACACTTATAGCCCCATAGCCCAGGGTCTAATGGAAATACTGAGGCTGCAGAAAGTGGAACAGCACAGTGATGAGCAGCCAGACTCTAAGGAAAACAACTGTCTGAGCTGGGAGGGAGAAGTCAGAGAAGGTTTTCTGGAAGAGGCAGTGTGTAAGTTGGACTGGACGGGCAGCCAGCATTATGCTGAGCAGATTAAAAAAAAAAAAAACAACCAATTCATTGCTTTGAAACTTCGGACCAACAGAAATGCAGGTGACTAATTCTGACTGACGATGACTGGAAAGGCACTGCACAGAGAAGTCTGCATTCATGAGTCGTGAAGTGAAGGAATTTTCATAGGTGAAAACTGGGAAATGTGAGGGGAAAGCACAGCCTGTCCATGGGACAATGACAGATCTGTGTGGTCACCCTACCACAGAGGGATGAGGCTGAGCAGCACCACTGGAGCTGGCTCCTGGAGACCTGGAAAGCCACACTAAGGTGGCCTTAGTTTAAAGTGGCAGAAACGCACTGCAGTTGAGCTTGGTAGCACCTGGGATGGAGAGGTGGCTTAGAGATTACCCGCTAGAGCTGAGACTCTAAGTCCCAAATGCTGCCAACCACCCCGCAGTGCCAGGGCTTCCCTTTACTTTGACTCCCAAAGTCCTGCTGCCATACCCAACACTGCTGCAGTACCCAGACTGCAGCTGGTACCTGACTGTGGTGCCACTGCCTGGGTGGATTCAAATAGATCGAATGAATTATCACTGACCACGGGACATTTGTTGCCATCTATAAAATGAAAAACAAGAGAAGGAAAGAAACTGTGAGCTCTGCAGTCATTTGGTTTAGAGAAAGAACTGGATGACACCCAAGTGGAGCATCTCACATCATTCATCCATTTATTCAGAAACAGCATTCATTCATACTGTCCTGCACATCAGTCCTGTACTCGGTACCCATCTACACTGCATCCACTAGCTGGTACAGTGTGCAGACACCAGATGACAGTGACCTGGCCCAGAGCTTTCCTGGAAGAACCTTCCTGTCAAAACAGTAAACAGGTAGCTTCATCTCAGGGTGGTCAGGGAGAGAACTTAAGGAAGGGAACCACAGGGGTGGGGTACTCCTTTGAGGGTGCTGGCCACACATGGCTTCCCAGGGGCTAACTCCTCCATTATCTTTTAAGATTGTGAGTCTTATGAAAAGAAAGAGGGAAATAAAAATCAGGTAGAGTAAGAGGCAAGTGTGAGGATGCTGAGGCATGAGAGAGACACGTAGTTCCTGTGGCTAAGGACTGGATGCCAGGGAAGGACACAGTGGGATGCAGGGCCAGCACCCTGATGACTAAGGGACCCACTCAAGGGTGCTAGGCAGGTCAATGTCTGTGTTTAGGAAAGTGATGCGTCTGAACACTGTACAGTGGTGGAAGAATGGGTGCAGGACAGGGGGCCCGAGTGACACTGGGTAACACAGGAAGCACTTGCTCACCTGAGAAGTTATGAACTCTCCAGAGTCTAGTGGGCAGAACAACGCTGTCATTAGGGTTTCAATGAAAGAGAGCTAGAGAACAAGACAGGGAGTGATGTGCACCGTATAACCCAGCATGCCCAAGGCAGAGCAAAGAGTATGTGTGTTCAGTTCTTGGGATTCCCCCCATGCAAGCTCCTTCTACTCATGCCCCACTAGAAAGGTCAGATGAAGGGACTCCAGCAGACATCTCCCCAACCCCTGAGACTGCCCTAGTGGATTTTATCCAGATAATATTTTTTAACAGCAAAACCCATACAACCTTTGTTGTTTACTAAAACTCCAAATCAACAGGATAATGGTCTGGGTGCTAACAATAATCCACAAGCAGTAAAGTCCATGTATCAGCAGGGGAGCACTTAGAACCACTTGTTGGTCTGTTCTAGTCCCTGCTTCATCCTCTGTTCCCTCCACAAGCTCTCTAAAGCTAGACGAGCCCACATGCAAATGCAAAACAGAACCCCTGATCCCTATCAGACACTATAAGATGCTAAAAGCCAGAGTAGGGGCTTGAGTTCTCTTTTAAAGGCAATCAGTGAGTAGAAAGGCTTTTCAGCCTTGGTGAGATGTGGGCAGGACTAAATGGACAAGACTGGAAACACTGAGGCTGGCTGGAAGCCTAAACTCCACTTTCAGAGAACCGAGCACCCTGGTCAGTCAAAGATATTGTGACTGCACCTAAGGTAAGAGCCAAGAGCAGTCAGGTGCCTAGGCTCTAAGGTTCAGCATGTCTGCCATCAGTGGGAAGGGCACCACTCAGAGTCACATGCCACACAGACCACAGAGCTGCACTTCCACAAAGTGGTTAGAGGCAGGTGCCCTACCGTGTTTGTCCAGTGGAGGGGACCACTCAGGTACAGACTGGACCTGAACAGGCACAATGAGGGCCCCTTCTTGGGGGTTCTTCAAGCCCTGTGACAGCTGCTCCTCCAACTTGCTCCTCAGGGTGCTATTGGTCTGGATGCTCCTTTCCAGCTGGTCCCGCAGAGCCTGTATCTCTATCAGGAGGCTATGCAGGTCGCTGGAAGGCTGCCCCTTCCAGCCTTCTCCAGATGCCTTGCCTCGGTCCTCTGCAGACATGAATGAAGGGAAACCTTGACATCCTCCAGAGTCAGAGTCAGTCATCAAAGAGACTCCATGGTGTTTCAACCCACCACCACCATCCACCCCCTTCCTTAGAACTAGGTACAATTTAAAATAACAACTCGACTTTAAAAACAAAAATATTGGCTGACTTAATTGCTGCTATTCCACAGGCTAAATAAGAGCTAGAAATTAATTTTCACTTCTGGCCATAAAAGCCTAGCAAATTGCATACCAAACCCTGAAATTATGTCTAGTAGTAATAAAATCTATTTGGGCTGGAATTATAGAATGAAAGGGGATGATTTTAAGAGCTACAGTATATTAAAAAGGCACAATAGCCAGAACAAGGGAAGCAACTTGAGAAGAAGCAGAGGCTGTGAGATGACCCTTTTCTAGATAAACCTTCAATAGGGAGAAACCATCTGGAAAATTAGTTTTAGAAAAACCCCACTACACCTCAAAATTGATTCTGAAACATTAGACCTTACAATTGAGTCACTCTGATCTGGTATCTGTCCAGAGAGAGAACTAGGGCCAATAACTACCTCAGAGCAATGCCTGGCACACAGTAGGTGCTCCAGAAAGATCTGCTGAATGAATGGGCAGGAAAACGATACCAGAAATTATTTCCTGAAAACCTACTATGTGCCAGGAACTGGACTAGGATGCTTTGATAAATGACCTCAGTCAACTTTCAACCAATCCACACAGTGGATGCTAACAGTACCGTTACAGAGGCAGAAACTGGCTCAAAGGCTTAAAGTCAGACTGAGCTGACAGAAGGGAATGAGACTCTAAACCTCAACTGGCCCCAAGGGAGGTGGGACAAAAGCCAAGTATAGCAATGTACACCTGTACTGCTGGCTCAGGAAGCTAAGGCAGGAGGATTTTGAACTTTTAAGGTGTCTGTGCTACTTAGCAAGACCCTGCCTCAAAAACAAGAGTGGTCCAAGGAGCTTGCTTCCACATACACCCAGTCTACCCACTGGGCAGCACAAGTCTCCTGACAGCATAGGAAAGAGCAAGAGCCGTGTCCTCCCACATCACTGCCAGCTGCTGGTGCATGCTCATGGCCCGGGATGCTACCTGCACCGGCCTGGCCCTGCCAGGCCCAGAGCACGCAGTACCTTGCTGTAGCTTTCGGTGTTCCTCATCCAGCTTCTCGTACACCCGAAGTTCCACTCGGAGGGACTGGAGCAGCTTGTCATTCTGTGAGAGCAGCTGCTGCCTCGACTTCACCTCCTCCTGCACCCTGAAATGGCCCAGATATGGAAAGAGGTTAATTCTTCCTCAGAGAGGCTTATTCAGTTCCCACTAGGCAGGCACATGCCAGTTCAGCCAGAAGAGTGTGGACAGACTGTCCTGGGACATGCATGGTTAAGAGTTCTACCACATAGACTGGACATGGTGGCACACGTCCTTAATCCCCAGCACTTGGGAGGCAGAGGCAGGTGGATCTCTGTGAGATAGAGATCAGCCTGGTCTACATAGCAAGTTCTAGGCCATATAGGGCTACAGAGAGACTCTGTCTAAAAAAAGAAAAAAAGAAGTTCCACCACACGGGCTGGAGAGATAGCTCAGAGGCTAAGAGCTCTGGCTGCTCTTGCAGAGAACCCAGGTTCAGCTCCCAGCACCCACATGGCAGCTAATAACCATCTATAACTCCAATTCCAGTGGCTCTGACACCCTCTTCTGGCCTTAGCAAGTACTGCATATATGGGTACACTTACATACATAAAGGCAAAACATTCACATACATAAAATAAAAATAACAATATTTAAAAAGAAGGGTTCCTCCACAGCCACCAGTTTCCAATGTTCCCCATGCCCAATTCTTCATATACATTTTCTCAAGGAATCTCTACAGATGTTCTAAAGGAAGATGTCCTCTAATCCTTGTCAGGGACTTGAGGAAAGGAACTCAAAAGGTTCCATCTCTTTCAGGGGTACAGGGAGAGGTACCTCCACCCAGAGCTGTCTGATGGCACATCTAGGCAGGAAAGGTGAGGATGGTCACCCAGACAGAACACAGAACAAGACAGTCAGAGTGGAACTGCGGGAGAGTGATCAGATTCATGTCTCTACTGTTCACTGAGAAGAGTCGCCCAGTGGCCTATGCCATCTGGAGTAAAAACCAGAGTCCTTATAGGGCTAGGGGCCCAGGGAAATTCAGAATCCAGCCCCTGTCTACCCTCAGCTCCTGCTATAGCCCTCTCCTCCTGGCACACAGGCCTCTCTGCTTAGCCACTGCCACTCGGTCATGGCCTGTGTGCCTCTGCCAAACATGGCCTTCCCCAGAGAGCTGCAGCTCTCACAGGCTCACGGAGTAGCTCTCTACTCAAACGGATCTTCAGAGGTGGGGGTATAGGACCTCCTCGACCACCCTAGGTGAAAACACTGGTTCCCGGTGCTCTCTTCCTGTAGATGACCCTTCGCCACACATTCTACACCTATCTGACAAATGAGGTGCCGTGTTTCTGCACACAGTGCTCACATCCCCGGGCAGGACTGGCCATGGGGCAGAGGCATCAGCTTACCTACTCAGCTCCTGGCGGCTGCTGCAGACCTCTTGCACCAGCTGCTGGTTGTGCCTCTCCTTCTCATTGACCTCTCTCTGCAGCTGTTCGTTCTCCCCCTTCACATTGGCGTACTCCTGCTGAAGGTGCTCAAGACTCGCAGCCTTCATGGACAGGGACTCTCGTAATTTTTCATTCTCCTTCTGTGTATCTGAAAACACCAAAAAGTACCACTGAGAAGGGACACCATTTATTTATCCAACCTTATTACACAGATATGGCACTTCAGCTGGAGAACTCCAGGAATACAGGAGAATGAGATTTAATCTGGCATTTATGATTCTGGCATTCCAGTTATCTTATGCATTTTAGGCAGATAAATCTGTCAACATCAAGACTGCAGATTAAACGTCACTGGAATGAAAGGGGGCTTGTTTAATTTTCTGTTACCTAATGGGCCTTGCAAACCTGGTTACTTTGCCTTTAGACAACACAGGGTAGGCAGAACCCATGGACAGAGCAACAGACAGGGCTCCAGCTGTCTGCAAGTGTGAAGAATAGCAAGCCTCCCCTAGTGCCCCACAGGAGGTCTGCAGGTCTGTAAAGAAGGCCATGAGGCAGCAGTGTCTCCAGAAGAATAAAATACTCTTGGAGGCTCAGGAAACACCAGGGCCTGGAGCAGGGAGTGGGAGGCAGAGGGACTGGGAGGCAGAGGGACTGGGTTCTCTGTGGCTCCTCTACTTGCTGACTGTCACACTAAGAGAACCACCTCTCTTGTCCATGCCTCAGCTGCCTCTTCTGAGCCAGAATGAGGGTGCTGTATCAGTACAGGCTTAGCACAAGCCTCAGAAGCAGGCTGCAGGCTACCTGCGCCACCTGAGAACAGAGGGGTAATGGCAGCTTCATCCCAGCACTGTCGGGGCATTACAGTAAGCCCTCACAGGTGTTGACTTCCTTCATCTTCACAGCACACCTCCAAGGCAGGTACTGTGAATCTTCCAGATGAGGAACTAAGGAGTGACAAGGTTAAGGCCTCCCTGGAGCCGCACAGGCAGGAAGGGGCACAGCCTGGACTCAGATCCACTCAATCATGGTCCTCTGACCCCAGTACAGCCGCACCTTCCCTGAGTGGTCCGCACTCTCCTCACCTCTAACCCTGGGCCTTGCTAGCTCTCCTCCTTCCATGCAAAAGGCCCTGGCTCCTCTGATCCTGAGGCACCTAGGCTAATCCTTCCTTTCCCTTCCAGAAATGACCCTTGAAGACCCTCTGCACGCCCTCATTGTGGCCAGTCCCCATCCCAGTCTGCTATGGATTATCTCCATCTCACTCATCAGCCTGTCCCCTGATGTTTCGAAAGGATGAGTGCTATTCATTTCTGGAGCAGTCTATGTGGCCCCAGGGAGAACAGGAGAGAGAACGGTTGCTGAGGGAATGAATGACCTACACAGCCTCAATTTGCCTCTTAAAGCAAAAGCAGCATCAATATCCACCAGGACAGCTGGGATAAGCTGACCCACATTCTGGCTCCCCATACCTTCCTGCTCAGTGGCCACAGCAGGGAAATTCCCTAGGCTGAGGAGTCACCTGAGAAACAGAGCTAAGAATCCCTCACTCCAGAATCATTCTAAGCGCCAAAAGATAACATAAGTGAATGCTTTTTGGAAGCTATGCTCCAAAGAAAAGGATCTTTCCAAGAAATGCCGCTAGGAGGAAATCCCTGGTTGAGATCTCGTAATGTGTTTCCAGCACTTCTTTCCTCCTCATGGGAAGAAATGAGCGACAAGTACCCACAGTAACATGTACCCAGGCCCTGGCGGACACCGTGCTCAGGGCTTTATACCCTTTAGTTGTCACAAGAGCCCAGTGAGGCATTTCTTAACCCCTCTGAACCCCAGCTTTCTCAGCTACAAAACAGTAACACTCAATAGAACTGCTGTGAGTTAAGGGTATACCCTTAACTTATAAGCTGTCAGAATCCAAGATGGTCGGATCCCATCCTGTGTGTCTTTGTATGACACAGGCAGTCTGGGGGCCAGGCTGCGGGTGGCCTCCGATTTCTTACCTCTGGACCCTTTCTCAATCATCATACTTAGGGCCTGGTTCTGCTTCCTCAGGAAATGTATCTCTGACATCAGGGAGCTGTGCAGCTCTGAACCGTAAACAGATATGTTTGTGGAACCTATGAAAACACATGTGCACAGTAAATTATGGACAGCCTCCAGGCAGGAGGGATGAAACTTCCTAGAAAATATTTTTAAACCATGAAGAAATACAACATGCAATGAAAACAACTCCTGTGAGCCATGTAACACAGAGCCAGAGCCTAAAGGGCATGGACACTGAGCTAGAAGGGGGCAAGAGGTGGCTCAGCTCTGAGGGTGAACAAAGCAGAGACCTAAGCCAGAGCACAGTGAGAGGTCGCTGGAAACCACTGCAGTCAGTCGCCTATTAGGCCCTGCCTCTGAGGCAGCTCAGTCTGACTCCAAGGCCTCTGTCTCTCCCATTTGCTCCCTGCTTGAAGAACCAGTCCACTCTCACCCCACCCATCTCAACCCAGGAGCCATCCTGACAGGGACTCCCCTCTCTGCCCCACCCAGCAGGCAATCACGACTGCTAATTCCTCCTCCAGAATGCCTCAGACCCTGGCAGACTCTCCTCTGTCATTCAAGTCTTGGCACCTTGTTCTCACAGCATCTCCCTGCTACTCTACCAAGAAGTTATCATCTCAGACACAATCTTTTCACTGCTATTCCCTGCTCAAAAATATCTGATGGCCCAGCAGTCGAGGGGGGGGGGGAATCAAACAAAACACAAAGCCTGACTTCTCAGTCTAGACTCCAAAGCCCTCCACAGCTCTGCTCCAGGTCATGGACATACTCCACTCCCTCTCCAGTAAGACCCCAGGGCCCAGAAATGTAGCTTAAACCCATGGCTTCTGTGCCCTCTGCCTGCCACCCTCCTCCCCTGTCAAAATCACTTGCTTTCATATCCTGGTCTGTAGCTACCTCACTGAGCTGCTGTCTATCTGCTGAAACCCTGCTGCTTCCTGTGAATCTGCTCAGAGGACACCTCTTGCTGGGCATCTCCCCGAACTCCCCCACATCAGCACTCCCCTCCGACAGAGCTCTCTCATCCACACCATTATGGTACTCTCTTCACAGCTGGCCTCTGAGCACCTACAGTTGCCAGGTGTCATCTCCATCAACAGGCAGATGCTTCCCTCCTAGCCTCTGTAACTGACTGAGTCCACCTGCTACACTACAACCAAAATGCCAGATCCTGTGCTGCAGGCCACCCTGTGGTGAGGGCAATGATCAGAGCCACTTGCAGCCAGTGAGACCTGCTAAGGGCTTCAGGAAGATTCTCCAGTGCTGTGAAAAGAGAAGCCCCAGTCTCTTCTTCCTGTGTGTTCTTAGACATGCTGGGAAGATAGAGATGAGTTCTCACACAGCCATCATGGATACTAGCCCCGCCCTGCCTCAGAACTACCTGCCTCTGGGCTTCTCACCACAGAAGGAAATATTAACATCCCTTGTGTGCACTGATTTCTCATCATATTTTGTTATCTGCAACTGAGTGCTCACATGTCCACACTCCATGTAAGGAAGGTGCAGTCAGCGCTCCCGGAAGATACCTTCTTCCCACTCTACAGACTACCTTTTCTCCAGCAATGAATCATGGACAGTGAGGTCAGATTCATTTTTGTTCACAAATGTGTCTTTCCATCATGTCCCTCCACTCGCCCCTAAAAACTCTGGGATTAGTTCAGAGATGCCTGGCCTGTATCTCCTACTTTTTAATAGCTGCAAGGCCTTAGGCAAGTTGCATTAATTCCCCAAGTCTTGGTTAGCAAAATAAAAATGGCCATGCTGTTGTTCCTGTAGTTACCATCTGTGTTAGTATCAAGAAGGATGGTGGGTGAGGTCACACAAGAACCAAAGACTGACAGGAATGAGAGCAATAATCCCAGTGTCTGCATTGATCAGTGCCAGAATACAGTGACTTTAAAATTAGAGAGATGGCTCAGCAGTTAAGAGCACTGACTGCTCCTGCAGAGGATCTAGGTTCGAATCCCAGCTCACATGGCAGCTAACAACTGTCCCTAACTCCAGTTCCAGGGGATCCAATGCCCTCTTCTGACCACTGTAGGCATTGTGCAATATGGGTGCACTTACATACATGCAGGCAATACATGTATAACATAAAAAAAAATAAATAAATCAAAAAAGACGAAATAAGTAAATAAATGAACAAATATAAATAGGTGAAAGAACAGCTTTCTCTACTAACCCTGACCAGGCCCAGCTGCCCTGGTGAGGGCTACTTGGATACGATAAAGCCAGACTTTCCTCTGAACACGGGTGCTGCAGCAAGCCTCCATAGGTGGCAGCGAGCTGAAAGCACTAAGGAATGAGGTATCAGTTTTCAACAACATCCCACCTCAACATGTGAAGCAGTCCTGCCTTTCTCAGACCTACTCCCAAGATGAACATTTCATAGCAGGAGGAGGCAGGGCTGCTTTCATTTCTTTGTCTTTCCAGAGACTGTGACAACATGGAGAAAACAGCATGTCTTTCAGAAGCAAAAATACTTTATGAATGCCTTTCTGTAACCCTCCCCGTCAGATGGAATTACTCTCCAGAGCAATTGCTGGCTCCATTGTAGCTGGTGGCCATTTGAGCTCCAAATAATTCTATAATTCTATAATTGGATTTGCCATGGAAAATGTAAAACAGAATGAATCTAATTCAGGCATTACCAAGAGAGAATGTGAAGGGCCCAGGCATGTATTTCTTTCCTGTGTTTGATACAACTAATAATTCAGATTAATCAAATCCCCTAGGGGTGAAGGAGGAGGATGAAGGATGGGGTGGGATCCGTGGAAGCAAGGGAGAAGACTGATGGAGCCACTCCGTTTACTTGGCAAACTACAGCAGAAATTGCAGCACATCAGAACTCTGGGAGAAAGGAAAAGGAGGCCAAGGGTCCAGGCCTCCAGTACAATCACTGAGTACTGCCTTTCTAGAACTCAGTGATCTCACCTTTAAATATGGGAATGACAGGGTCTTCACCCATTGCACAGCTTGGCAATGTCAACCTGGCCATGTTACATGAAATAAAAGACCAAAATAAAACTGATGATAATAAAAGCAGCCATTTATTGAATGAGCACTGACTAAGGCCCAGTTCATGTTACTGCCCCATTTAAGCTCACAAGGACCCTGTTTCATGAAATGATTAAGACTCGAGTAAATTGTCCAAAGTCATAAAACCAGAGCCAGGTGAGCCGGCCCAACAAACTTAAATATCACAGCAAAGATACAGAAAACCAAGAAAAATGGGGAGGAGAGAAGGAAGAACAGAGCTAACAGGTACAAAGTGGAGCCACTAAGTTTTGAACTACGTGAACGAATCACCTTACATATGTCTAGTTTTCAAGGAAGACCATCAAATTCCAAGCTGACTGTGGCTATGTGAGAATACCGTGATCTTCTTCGGCATGCAAGATTTACCATATTGTTAAATGCTAATATTTTTATAATTTATCTTTGCTGAAAAGACAAAGCATGACTTCATTCTCTTTTATAATCCCTATCTATACTTCTACAGTGAGGACCCAGCTACAACTCAGGACCCCAGAGGCCAGTAGACTTCTCCAGCGATGGAGAAGACGGACAAGTGGCCACGAATCAGCACCTGCATGGTCCACAGAGAGCCAGATCAGGCACTCTCCCTTCCTCCCCGGCACCCGAAGGGAAGGTCTTTTCTCACCTTGATCAGCCTCAGACCCCTGCCGCTCCAGCAGCTGTTTCCGGAGTTTCTCATTTGTTTTAATAGATTCTTCCAAGCGTTTTCTCAAAGTTCGAATTTCCTGTATATGTTCCATTAGTAAGTCTACAGGAAAGAAGAACATTTTAAATTTAAAGTCGGAAGCCCCCAACAAATTGCATAATTTATAGGTTATGCAGAGATCTTGAAATTCTAACAGTACTGGATGTATTAAGATAGTCAGCAACTGGTGATTCTTTTCTAAGCCTAGGGGAGGCCAAACTGTTTTGCACAGTACATAGATATGGCCCTGTAATGGCTCTCTGCAACCCTCCCTGAGAAGACCACTTCACATCACATGGAAAAATTATATTCCATACAATTTTAATTAACTGTAATGTAGCCTTTTATTCTTCTCAATATCAAATATTAATTCAAAATCTTCCTTATGATAAAACTAACAGATCACTTTCAAGTTGGCCTGAATTGCCTGAGAGTTGACTAAACTACCTCCATAATAAATCCAGATATTTTTGAGACTAGTTTTTTTTTTTCTTAAATAACTACATGATTAGAAGAAGCATTTCACTACAGTTTTAACATATTCAGTAACACACTCCAGAGCAAGAGTACATCTCTTTTATAAATGGGTGCAAGTTTCTAGGTTCACAGTTGAGTTAAAACAGTTATACAATATTGAACTCAGTATAAGCCCTGTAAGACATAAAACTGAATGTTTTTTAAACAAGATATATATTATCCATTTACCACTTATTAATTTTATGACTTAAAGCAAAACAGTGCTAGTGAGAATGGTAACAAATAGGGCATGCTCCAGATCACCTGTGTGTGTGAGCATAAAAGCCGTGACCTTTGGAGGCTATTTATATCAGAGAAGCTCTCTTCCAATGTCTTCGTTTCCCAGATAATTCTGCTCCCAGGACTCTATTTATAAAGAGCTCACCCGAGATGCTCACAGGCACTTGCCAGAATGCAAGAATGTACTCATCTGAGCACTGCATGTGACAGGAAGCTGAAACAGCTCAAACTATTCAGTGAGCTGAGGTACTATGATGGAGAATTACACAGCTATTAAACTATCTTATTAAAATTATAGAAAACCATGGAAAATGTATCATACTATTATGTTAAATTTTAAAATAGATACAAAATTGGTTACAAGATAATCTCAACTCCATAAAAACATGCAGACAGGAAAGACAAATATACAAGAGAAGTAAATATACTGAAATATTCACTGTAGCCACCTCAGTGATGGGTTTTAGATTTTTCAAAATGTCTACATGACATTGACATTTTAACATACTACTTAATAGATGATAATTTAATTTTTCTAAATTTCCTAGGATGAGCATGTATTACGTATTCACTCTCTGCCACATTTCTTTAACAAAGAAAGAAGGAAACACAATTTCAGTCTAGAGGTAGATTTTGAGAGTCAGTGTTTAAAACATAATCACATTAAGTATCCAAAGGCAAAACTAATGTCTTTAATTCATCAATTAGGGTACACTCAGTATGTCTTAGTAATGTTTGTTTTAAAACATTATACTAATGTTATAACCCAGTTTTAATTCCTCCAAAATGGCTTTCATTTAAAAGCAGCACAATGTTACAGATCTTTTCCTAATTAAATAGTAATTTTGCCATGAATTTGAATGTTTATGAGATGACTTAATTCCCAGACCTTCAGCTATCTCCTATTAATGCCAAAAGTGTGGCAAGTCATTTGGTGGAATGTCTGCCTCCCGCTGCAGCACGGCAGGGAAGGCTGTCTGTGCCACTTGTGGTACATCCGGAACTGTCCCTCCCGACCCAGCCTCACTGCCCTGCCAACCTCTTTCCAGAGGCCCGCCAGGCCAGAACCGGTCAGGAGGTCCTCTGGCCAGGAACCCATGGGCTTGGATTGCAACCTTCCTTGCTGGCTTCCCCGAGTCGCATGCTGCTGGCTGTGGGGTGATGAATGATCCACAGCCATCAACACAAGCCATCTTCCATAGTTTTTGGCTGCGAGCTGGAATCATCACTTGGGCTGAAGGAGGTGTTCCCAGTGGAATTGGATACCACGTATTAATTATGCACCCACCCCGAGAAGGAACACTATATTAGTCTTTACGAAATGATAGAAAAAGATCTGTCTCTCTTACAGTAAATCCTTCTGATAAATGCTAACTCTTTAAAACCATAAATCCTGTAAGAAGCAATCACACAGAAAATTAAGTGTATGTCCTCTGCCTAGTGGTTCCAATGCAGAGCCTACAGTTAAGAAAATGCCCCCAAATAAGGGAAAAGGTCCTTGTTTAAGATCCCCTTGAGGCACTGTTTACAATTGTGAAATTCTGGGAATGACTCAAATTCTCAGCACCAGGAAACATAAGGCAAACTGCAAGTTTAGCCATTCAAAGGACTATTCTAAAGCCACTAAAAATGACATTATCTAACAACATGTCAGGAAGCATGTGATAGAATGTTAAGTGAGAAAAGAACAAAAAGTCAAATTATCTCTCTATACAGATTACAAACATGACAAAAAGGAAGGAAAATAAATGCAGGAAATAAAAGGCTAAAGAGAAACAACCCTAAAAAGAATTCAGTAGATACAGCTCCGGGGAGCTCAGTTCCCACTCACCAAAGTACTGGTAACGCACTGAGGTGTGTGGACAGTCCAGGAACAGTCCCCTAAAGGAGGAGGGAAACTTGACCGTCACATTAAAAACAAACTCTATGGGGAGGCAGGAGACAGCACTGCCCAGGGCCACACGGATGGGTTGGAAAGAAGAGGGATCACATTCCCCTCTAAATTACAGTGGCTGCATCAGTGCTCAAGTTCCACCCTCCACCCACCTGACCAGCCCTCTAACAGTGGGCTCAGGGGCTTGGAGAGGGTCTGAGGGCTACACTGGACTCATTCAGTGCAGTTTGCCCTAGGGACAGGGAAACAATCTGTGGTCTGACCTACTGTCACAAGTACTCACAAACATCTCAGAGCAATAGCAGCACAAACACCAGGAAATGAGGCCCAGGTGACTGGCTGTTGGAGAACCCAGGTGGTCCAATCTGTACCAAGAAGAGCATGTCACATTCTAGGTTTGTCTAAGATATGGGCCCTGAGTGTCCAGGGGAGGCTAAGAGGACACAATGGGGCAATGGCTTCACTCTAGTCTCTGGCATACGGATGGAGCCTTTCTACAAATTTTCATCTGGAAAAATTCATTGCTTGAAAAAAAAGAAAAAGCTTCAAATATTTTTAAAACAATGGTGTATTTAACTTAGAATCAACAAGAACAAGGTGGTATGTGCTGCAGAATCCACTGTGGTGTCTTGTTAAGACAACAAAACAAGCAAACAAACCAAAAAAAAACCACTAGAAACTTCCACTGGAAGAGAAGCAAGAGACCAGAGAACCATCAGGAGAGGTCCATTGTCTAGAACTGTTAAAGGGCTGAAATGGCAGGCCTTCTTGTGAATGCAGTTTTATTTTGTTTTGGTTTTCTATATATTTTTATTGACTTTTTGTGTATTTCATAGAGAACATCTTAATTATCTTTATGCCCCCTTCCCCATCGTCACCTTCCCATACCCCTCCCCGCCCCCCCAACTGGATTTCCTGCATTCTGTCATTTGTGTTAAGGTCTATCAAGTCAAGCTAGTTTACCCAGATATCCCTCAGTGCAAGTTCATCCACTGGGGTCTACTTGGCCTATCTAAAGTCACTCCCTTTAAGAAAATCAGCTCTTCTTCTCCCAGCAGTAATCAGCTGTCCAATAGTTCTTCCGCTAAGATTGGGGCCTGCTGCCCATTCCCCAGTTCTATGCGGGGTTTACTAGACTGTAACCATTCATTCACACAGTCGCTCTGTGCTGTGAGACTGGAGTCTTACAACTGAAAGCTGCAAGCTGTCCCTTTGGTGGAGTCTGCTGATCCCAAGCCCACCTGGTCTGCTTCTATAATCCCTTCAATCTTTGAAATATACTGAATGGAAAACATTAAGTCCCAACAGGAGGAAACTGGGATTGCAAGTTCAAGGGCAAGGTGAGTGGAGACGGGGGCGGGCTCCTGAGAGGCCGATTCGGCCAGTTCAGTCCATGGCCAGAGAGAACAAGGCAGAGTGAAGCCCTCAGCACTGATGGCATCAGGAGGTGGGGCCTCTGGAGGTAATGACATCAGCATGATGCAATGTTCATGGACAGGATTAATGTCCTCATGGCACAGAGCACAGGGAGTTCCCTTGCCCTCCTTCCTCTATGTCAGGACACAACCTAGAAGAAGACCCTCACAGAACCCAACCATACTGCCTGTAAGGCACTGACCTCTGCCTTCCAGCCTCTAGAGCTGGGAAAGAATCCTGTGCTGTTTGCAACCCCCAGTCAATGCATTCTGCTACAGCAGTCTGAATGGATCAGAACAGAGCTTGACCCTTGACCAAGAGTCACACTGAAGGGAAACCATGAACTTGGGGAATCATGAACCCTGTACTCCAACAGAACAGGGGTGGGGTGAGGACTGGGTGCTCCTAGGTATCTGGACAATTTGAAACAGAAGAGGCCTCAAAAGGATTCTGCTTCAGGATGAGCAGAAACAAAAGGAAATAAGGCGAACTTGCACTGACACAGTTCCAAAGCTTCCTAGCCTGCCCCATGAGAAGAGCGGTAAGGCAAACCACACAGTCATCGCTTCAAAAGCAACCATGACTCTCCTCCTCCCCACAGCCACCCCCACTTCCAACACATGGCTCTCTCCAGTGATAAATCACCCTTCATGAGCAGCTCTGGTCCTCACAGGACCTCCCTTCATTGAAGAAATGGTCAGATCTGTACACTCTGCTCACCAAGGTCAAACAGCCTGCTGCATGTAAGATGTAAAGCTTCGCTTACCTTGAGGAAAATGGCTTGCCACCACTGAGGTCTTCTCGGTTTCACTGTCTGGCTTCTGCTCTCGAGACAGGAAGGACTTCTCTGACATTTCATCATCCGACAGGGCATGAGAGGCAGAAGGCTCAGGAGATTCAGGCTGGAGATGTTGGTATGTTAAGTTGTCTTTCTCAGTTCTGAACCTTTGGGATTGAAAGAGATGTCATGCCCACACTAAAAACCCAAGCTGGACCATGTGTAAGAATACCTGGGGCTACTTTCCCTTTGTGAACACCATCCATGCAACTTCAGTCAGTCCTTTTGTTTCCTTATGACATTAAGTAGTGACGTTAAAACGGAAGGAGTTCCATGTGCTCAAGTCTGGAGCCAAGGAAGAAAGGGAAGGAAGGAGGCTCTGCCTGTCCCACATTGGGACTTACAGAACAACCTGAAGAGAGCATGGATCCGGGGCACCTGTGCCACTCTACCAAGTGCCGCTCTGTCCTAGCAGTCTCAGTCTTTCTTGGTCCTCACAGACATCCTCTGAAGAAGGGAGCACTATCACTCTTTACAACCAAGGAGGCCAAAGTTCATCGTGAGCCAGGCACTGTCTCAGCTCTACAGGGGCACCACATCACTCAGTCCCACCCACCCAGGCCTATCTGGCCCTGTGGCCCCAGGAAATGTGGGCATCCAGCCCAAAGCCATGAGGCGGCCTTAGAATTAAAAATCTCAAAGTCCCTGTAGTCCCCAGCAGGCCCCCACAGCTTCATTCTAGCAATCATCTGTTTATTAACCTGTATTTCCGAGGACCACCTAGGCCATAAGGAAAAACAACCTGAATGCTGTGGAAAGCCCAAGTGAATCTCCATTATAGATAAGCTCCTTAATTTAAGCTCTTTTGCTCCTACTTTTTCCTGTTATTTCTTGTCAGTGGTTACAGTCTCATTATTCATGTGCTCAGACAAGAGCAAAGGACTCCAAAGCTGCAACGCATTCATTAACAGGTAAACACTGGGTGCAACTGTGCCCAGACAGCGTGATGGATGCCCAGGCTTGCTGCTGCCTTGCAAAACTACAGTGAGGGCCAAGGGTACCCATTTAATTAGCTCAGGAACGACCTACAGCTAAGCCTACAGCTGAAAATGGTGGAACCGTAGGAAAAAAATAAACCTGCTGGAAGTGGAGAAAGGGTTGAGGAAGTTCCCTGTCTCCCCTAATTCAATTTCCAAACATTCTCAGAAGTTTTCTAAAGGGGCAAATCTGAACCACCAGTCCCCACTTACTCTCCTTCAAAGACCCCCATTCTTCCTATAGTAGAGTATTGGTGTTAGAACTCCTAACACAGCACGTATGGACAAGCCTGGTGGGCCCTGCTTGCTCCTCTGGCATCGGCTGGCTGCCCTGTACCAGTCTCCCTTTCAAAGGGGCCACATCTCCTTTGCCTCAGGTATGGACATACTCCAGAGAGGGATCCTTCACCTTTACTCTTTAGCTCTCATGACCAGCTAAAACCAGCCCCACTTGGGGAGGTTTTCCCTCCCATCTCCAAGGCTGCCAGCAGAATGTGGTCTGGTATAAGGATGAATGGAACGAGTTGAGCCAGAACAGAACTTTGGAGATACTGCAAAGGGAGGAGGTCTATTTCTTTTATGACCACAGAAGCCTGACAAGCATCCTCCAGTGGGCTGGGCCACCTCCCTACTTGCTCTCGGTAAAGATGCTGACTGCCTTTGTGATGCCAACAAAATCTGATTCTGTATCCCAGACTAATCCTTACTGTTTATTTTACTTTCAAGAGTCGAAAGGGCCACATCCCTGAAAGAAAGGAGGTGCTCTGTGGCATCCAGAGCTTTCAGCAGGTTTATTTTTAAACTTTTAAAAAATTTTTATTTAATTTTTTATGTGTATGCATGTATTGCCTGCATGTAGGTAAGTGCGCCAGTGTCAGTCAGAAGAGGTTGTCGGATCCCCTGGGACTGGACTTACAGACAGTTGTTAGCGGCCATGTGGGTGCTGGGATTCAAATCCGGGTCTTCTGCAAGAACAACCAGTGTTCTTAACCGCTGAGCCATCTCTCCAGCCCTGCTTTCAGCAGTTTTAAACAGTTGGGCAAGTCCTTGGCATTTTGAGTTGACCATAGAGGCAGGCAAAGAAAGAGTACCATTCATCTATCATCTTTACCCTCAACAGACAGCACAGAATAGTGGGCATTCCAGTAAGCCAGTTCAAGTTCCAGTCCTAGCTGAGCCTCTCAGTGCAAGTATGCAAGTCTGACCCACAGAAGCCTCATCCTGAAGCGGAGATGAAGATGATCACGTCGTGGGGTCACAAGTAATAAATGTGAAACTCAGCACTAGCCAAAGCTGTCTTCTTTGGAGAGGGTTAGAGGAATGGGAAAGTAGCATAACACCACATGGTGGGTGACATCACATAACTATGTGTCAAGTGGTACATGGCAAAACCACCGGATCCCGGGAGGGGAGGAAAAGGAGGGTGTTGGGATTTGCCAGGTCCATTTGCATTCCAGCTGCCTCTGAGGAATGGCTTTCAAACTGCCCCAGGAAGGTGGCAGAGTGCACAGCTGTGCACAGGCATGGTCGGGAGTATGAGGAATCAGAAGGACAAATAGGGCAGGAACTGGACAGAAGGGAGCAGAAGTCAGGGAGAAGGGGAGAAGACAGACCAACCGAGAAGGGTGCAGACACCAGGCTAAGGATGATGAAACTTTTAACCTCAAATGCCACAGAAGGAACATTATCACCTGCTTTCAACCCCTGACAAAAATGCCACCAGCCTCCTGAGCCTAATGAATGAAGCGGCAGGACCTGAGGTGGGCTCTGGCTGTTGGGTGGCCATCGTTGGTTCTGAGTGTCAGTGACTTTGTCACAAGAAAGGGAGAGAGCCCGACATTTTTAAGGCTGGCAGGCAAAGCAAAGCCAGAAAGTCCCAGAAAGTTTTCTTAGCAAATGCTGCACACTCACCTCTCTATCAGCTCACTCTGGGGACTTGGTTCCACTCCAGCTGACTTTCCTAGAAGCAGAAATAACACCAAAAGAGGGTGAAAACAGTGTTTTAAAAATGTTCCTTGATACTTTCTTGTTCGTACATTTGCAGAGGCCCCGATCCATCTTTCTGAAGACTCCTGACAACAATCCGGATACTGGAATCAGGATCACAGTGGACAGTTCAGCCTCCAGGCCCCTGCGTCATCACTGCTCTGGCACTAGTTCCAGGTGACAGCACTGAATCCAGAAAGCTATCACAGTGGCATCACCAGGTACCATTCTTTCCCTTCTCTAAAATGCAGACAATAGCTTGGCCTGATGGCAAAGGCCTGAAATCCCAGTTATTCAGGAGGCCAAGGAAGGATACCAAGTTCAAAGCCAGCATAAGCAACTTAGTGAGAATCTGTTTCAAATAAAAGGAGAAGGGCTGGTAGGGCTAGGGAGACGGCTCAGTCAGTGAAGTGCTGGTCGTACCCTTATGACCTATGTTAAAAAGCAAAAGGGTGAGCAGCTTGAACCTGTAATGCCAGCACCAGGGAGACAGCAACAGAAAGATCTCTGGGGCTCACTGGCCAGAGAGTTCCAGGTTCAGTGAGAGACCATGTCTCAAAAATCAGGTGGAGAGCAATTATAGAACACACTTGATATCAACCTCTGGCCTGCCTTCCCCACCTTGCTGCATACACACATGTGCCAATCCCCTAATGCCCTAATGCACACACACAAACATGCACATATGCTCACAAATGAGAGAGAGAGAGAGAGAGAGAGAGAGAGAGAGAAGGCGCTAGGTGAGAGAGAGAGAGAGAGAGAGAGAGAGAGAGAGAGAGAGAGAGAGAAGGCGCTAGAGACACGGTTTGGTGGTAGAGCACTTGTAGAGTACAGAGAGGTCCTGGGTTCTATCCCTAGGGCCACAGAATACAACACACAAAAATCCTCTGACACTAGCAAAACATGCTCACCCTGGGGAGCAGGAGCAGGTAACACAATCACGAAGCCCTCCCCCGACCCCCTGCAGGCACGATCCTGCTCTGCCTTCTACTGTCTCTTTCACACGTGTAGGCTGAGATGATGCTGACTAACTTCATTTTTTCACATTCCATTTTATTATAAGCATTTCTCTTACTAAATGTGCTTAGAAACCTCCTTGTAAAGACCACAGTAATATTCTATTGCAGGCACACATGGACTGGTTTTTGCAGTTCCCTATTTAGTATTTAGGTCATCTCCAAATTTTCATTTTAATAAATAAATGAGACAAACATCTTTGTGCACACGGCCTTATCTACATTTAAATTATTTTTCTAAGGAAAGACTCTCAGAACTGGGATTAGTGGGGAAAGGAGTATTGGAGTGCAGTTGAAAAACTCACTGTCGACAACAGAGGAAATGACTAACGGAAATTACAAAAGAAAACAAAATAAAGCTCAGGATGTTGTTGGGCAAAGGCTGCTGTGCTCTGTTCCCGTGTGCCATCATTTGCTGTTTGAAAGGAAGCAAGGGCCCCGATTTCAAAGCGGCTAACAACTTTATTTTAAAAATACTTCAAAACTCTGGAAATTGCAGACCAGGATGAGCTCTTTGAAGAAATGGATGCACGGCTAAAGGGGGGAAAAAAAAAGCCTTCTGTAGGTGCACTTGAAAACTGAGGCTAGAATTAGACTGCACCCATAGTTTTCAAAAAGGAAAAGTTCTCAAATACTAAATACTGCAGCTGGGGACAAGGCCACCAGAGCGAGTGTGTTTATGTCTGTGGTTCAGCCTCTGATTCGCACAGCAGCCAGGCTCCCTCTCCATCCCAGGAGGTGGCCACATGGTGCCAAAAGCCAGTGAGAATTAAGCCACCTGACACTGTGGGGCACAGTCACCCCCAAGTCAAAGACAAATTGCCCTAGTGACAAGGCTCCAAATCCCGAGCACCGGTCCTTTGCGCTCACTCTGTCCTTGAAGCCTCACTCCAATCCTCCCGGTCAACACCTCCACTTAACAGGAAGAAGTGCAAGGGTGTTTCATGCCCTAATCACTTTACAGTTCAGCAAGGGGGCAAAGACCTTGCTAGCGCAACCACAGATCTATGCCTAGACCCTCTTAGTCATATCCTGGCCATGCTGATGTGATGATGTGGCTTTGGAGATGGTAGACAAGGTTGGTGGTCCTCTAGCCCAGTGGACTCTACCTCTCTGCCTTGTGCACTCCTCCTCAAGATGGAAAAGCCACATGTGACTGGGTCAGATCTCAAGACCTTAGCTTCAAGTATAGGGGTGTAGGGTCATCCCCAATGGGCAAGACAACTGTCTGTTGGAAGAACAGCTCAGCTGGCACTGGGACTGCTCACAGCCTTCAGGTGATGAGAAGACTCTGACCCCACAGACCTGAGGATGGACCAATGCCCAGCCTAGCCTTGCCAACAGCTAGTAAGCTGTACATGCACTATCAGGCAAACAGAAGGGGATGCCCTGTTGTTGCACCAACATCTCTGTATATCAAAGAGTCATCTCCCCCATGCACAGGGTAGGCACTCTTGGTTTGAAGTATCCCAAGCCTTCTGACCATGAACCCATTTTAAAACCATCAAAGACCTGGCTTCCATGTCTAACCAAGTCCAAGCCCGCAGAAGAAAGTGCCCCGAGGCTACCAACAGCCTGATTGCCCTCAATTACAAATAAAAGATCCATTGGGGAGCTTGCATTCTCCCCATTCCCCAGTCACAATTGGGTTGTTTTAAAGGTAAGTGAAAACCGGCCACTGTGGGATTCATAGATCATAACAAGTGATATAGCAAGTTTCTTGGTGGAAACTGCCTCACACAGGTGGCAGGGGACCATCTGTCGGCTACTGCAGGAGCTTGGGATGCATGGCATGAAAACACTACTCCCTTCTCTCTGGCAGACCTTGTTGCTACACCTGCAAGCTACGCACTGTGCAGTGGGGGAATGTCATATATTCCAATCAAAATTAAATAAAAAGAAAACAACTACCTGCCTCTTCTGTGTAAAGAGGACCACAGTGCAGGGGTGACTTGTGATCTAGCCTGTCCCTTGCTACCCTTCAGAAGCCTCCTTTGGCACAGAACTCCTGTTCAGACTCCACAGCATGCACTCAGACCCCAGAGCCTGGCATCTCCAACAGGACTCCATGCTTTTTCCTTCCCATCTGCTGCGTTCCTCCCAGGGGTCTGGCCACACACTGAGGCCACAGGGACAGATGCAGAGCCATCCTGCCCACAGTGAGCTCAGCTCTGCGGGACAATTACAAGATGATACTGTAATGAAGGGAAGCACGGTGACCATGGAAGGACTTAGGGAAGACAGGCATAGTCCAGCCTCAGCCAGTTCAGTTGGGAAAATTAGAGGCAGAGCAACAGAGTGGAGCTTTATCTTCTCTTTTTTGTTTCACTGTTGTTGTGTTATTTTGTTGTTTGCCCAGGCTGGCAACAAACCCATAATCCTCCTTCCTTGATCTCCCTTAGGACTATAAGCCTATACCATCATGCTCAGCTTCTGGGTTGTATCTTGGAGGAAAGAACTGCTTTATACAGAGGAGGAGTTTCCAGGGTGACCAGGAGGCAAAATCCTCCATTTACCTGAAACCTGGGTCCTTGTTCTAACCATAACTTACTCATGATCCTTGTTGTCACCTCCTGAGCTCCCACTGTTGCTAAGGGCAATGTCAGACACTTTGAATAATCAATCTCACTTAATCTTTACCAAGAACTCTGGTAAGATAGGTGCTGTTCCTTCTACAGAGAAATTCTGACCTTAGAAGGCAAATGACCCATAAACCAGGGTATGAACTCAAATCTCTGATTCCATGGGCCACTGTAGCATCCTTGTCATGGCCTCCATCACAAAGTCAGACATATGAGCTGCAGACAACACAGAGTAGAGAACAGGAACCAGATCTGCTTCCACTTGGGGTGAACAAAGAAAGCTTCCAGCAGATCAACGGAACTTCTGTGTAGAAAGGCACTGACTGAACAAAGTCAGAGAGGGGTAATGCAACGGCTGGGCAGCGGGAACATAGGCGGTGCACCCAGCTTGCTAAGGGTATGATAAGACCCTAACCTGGGGTCAGAATAGGCTATGACATCAAACAGCCTACGCTCCAGGTCAGATTCTGCCACCTCCCATGTGACCTTGAACAAGTGAACTAGCCTCTGTGTTCCTCACACTAAATAAGAACAGTGTGAAGTACTTCCTTCTGAGCTGAGATGAACACCTTGGATATAGCAAACGCTCAGCGAAGACCAGCTTTCTTTATTTTCTCACCATTTTCTCTATCAGACGGTGGAAGGTCTTGAGAAGAAATGAATGTTTGGGGTTTATCTATACCACTGAAAGAGCATCAAGACAAGAGCCCCAGCAGCTGGCTTCTATTCAAGTGGCTAAGCCCTGGCACCTAAGCAGAGTTCACTGAGGGACTGTCTCACAATCTGCTTTGCACCTGTCCTAGTACCTTACTCAAAAGCATCTGAAGAGAAAACACTGCCTTTTTCATTGATGCAGGCTGTCTTTGGAGGTGCCATGTTGAGGACATGCTGGGAAACCTGACTGCAATTCCAGGTCCTGATCAACTGTGTCCCCACCTTCTTGGGGAATCTAAAAGCTAAGGACCTTCACCCTGGAAAAATGCACAGCTCATAGAATCTTGCCTAGTTCCAGACCTCAGTGGAACCCCTAGTTTCCAGCACTGCCCTTTATAAGCATTAAGAAAGCACAGCACCACCCACCTGTTTCTCAGATTCTGCAACCAAATGTGACAAAAACAGGATATGCACAGGCTCCAAGTTAGTGTCTAAACCAGCCTAAACTGGACACAACTTAAGTGTCCATCTATTGGGAACAATTAAATAAGGCATTGTACATTTACACAAAAAGATGTTCCGCAGTCACCTAAGATGTATATTCATTTTGTTATCTGCCACTGAGCAAAGGGAGAGGTTGCAAATAGGTCCTATGTTACATAAGATACACATGTTCTAAAAAGGTCTGGGCACAGAAACTTCCAGGCTGTCTGTGAAAGGCTGTGTAGACAATCAGAGCAGTATCTATCTATCTGTCATTCCATAGGAAACATTTTGGTACTGATCTTTTAAGCCTGGTTTGAGAACACAAGTGACACAACTGCCTCAGAAATGGACTAATTTATGGTAAACACAGTTCATAATTCAAGAGCCAGACCCCTTACATGGCATCTGAGAAAGATCCAGCTGTCTTTCTTTTTATTCTCTATGAAAGGAGCTATAGTGAGGTTCTGGAGGCCGTAATGCCTTGAAGAAGAAAGTCAAGTTCTACGCTGGTGCTACCTGCTAAGCCTAAGATGCTCCTGCTCCAGAACCCATGGGATCACAAAGGGGGAGCTTCAGGGCTTGTCAAAGTCAGGGACTGAGAGAGAAGTCCTTGAGCATCTGGCTGATGAAGGGGGGCAGTTAATGCCAGAAGCACTCTCCCCTCAGCTCCCCTGGCCAGGGCCAGAGGCAGCACTGCAGGAATTCAAAGCAGAACAAAACATCTCGGCCCTAGGTGATCTAGCTTAATCTATCAGTGATCCAGTGACTTCCCCACCAGTAAAATGAAAGCTAGATTATTTACAAGACACAAGCCAGAAGGAAACAGAGTTTTATAAAGCTGGAAACAGTCTTAAAAGGGTCTTCAGGAAAAGCACTAATGGGACCCAGATGGGAAAACTACCCTGTGTTCATCCTGGAATGAAAGGCACACACAAGGACCCTGGTGGATCATGTGTTCTACACATATGAAGGCAGAAGACCTGGCCCCACCAAGTCCTTTGTGTCTCTAGGCAACTCACGTTCCTTGCTTAGGGCCAGATTCCTCACCTGTAAAGCAGGTAATTCTGAGGGTTAAGCACCAACTCACTGTAAATACAAACAGTAGGAAGCACTGAGTCAATGAGAACCATGTGCCATTCATGGAGCCAAGGACACCACTACCATTTAACATTACAGTGACTTTGCCAATTAAGTATTGGAGTGCTGAGCCTAGTGCTAAGCCTAATGGCAAGGAAAGTCAGAAGGTTCATGGTTTACAGGGGAGCCAGAGCTCTGGCCTGGCCAGCCTGACCCAGTGACTATATCTGTCAACACAAACCCACATACTGGGAAATGAGAGCAATATTTCTAAACCCCAGGCTTATCAGCAGCAGAACTGTGTCATCATCTCCCACTTCCAAGGTCACATCACTGTGGAGTGTCAACCAAACATCATCTAGATACCAAGAAACACACAAGACTTAGTGGGAAGAGACTTCTGCTCAGAAATCAGATGTAGAATTCCCATTCCACCATTCACTGCCCCATGATCACAAATGAGGTGCTTCCTCTCACAGGTCACACTTTCCACACTGTAAAACTGGATTCATGCGCTCACTCACTCACTCACTCACTTGTCAAGTCTCTCTAAAAATATACACCAAGTGGCTACTCTAACCAGACAGTGTTTATGTCCTAGAACTACAGCAGCAAATACACTGAACACAGCCCCGGCAGCCTCACGGGGTTCACTGTGGAACAAAGCAGGCTGACTGTCAGGTAGGTAACACACAAGACTGTGCAGAGGCTAAGAATGCAGCAGGTGAAGGGGTTGGGAACGTCAGAGAGGCCAGAGCTCTGCTGCTTTACAGAGCAGTCAGGAGGACCTCCTTAAAAGGATGACAACCAAGAAAATGGAGGAGGGATGAGAGAAAGGAAAGTGCAGGCCCTGAGGAAGAAGCCAGTGTGAGCCCAATGGCAGAATGCCTGGTCAGTATAGCTGTTGGGAGGTGAACAAGTGAGTTCTGCCAGTGCCTACCCAAGAAGTCACGGACAAATCACCGCAGACTCCAGGACTGGTGCTCCTACCAACTTACCATGTAGAAAGAGCTTCTCCAGCTGCTCCAGCAGCCCAGCACAACGGCTCAGCTGCTCCCGGAAGCCCTCAGCTACACAGCCATCCACATCGCTAGCCTGCAGCAGCTCCTCAAACGCGTGGATCATGGTGCTCATGTGCTGACGGTAAACGACACAGATGTCATGGCTATCCTTAATCTGCTGCCGCTGAAAGGAGAGCTCCCTGGCTTGGGACTGAACCAATGAATCGTATCTGATAAAAGGGGGAAAGAAAATGTGTATGCCATTTTAGAATCGAATTTTTGTGACCTTAACACTAATTGGAAAAATGACAGAGCATAATTTTTAAAAGCCTGCAGCTGTACTAGTATATACTTTTAGAAAAATTGAAACTGCACAAGGTCACTCCTTCTTGGAGTTCAAACAGCCAACAAATGCTAGAACAGAGATGCTTCTGCAAAAATTTAACCTTATAAAGGCCCCAATTAAAGCACAGATTGGCAAGGACTCAGAAGAACAATTAGTTTCCATATACTCTTCAAAGACACTGTTCTGAATTGTAGAAACAAGAGCCCTAAGTGTCAGGGACCCACCAAGCATTCTCACCAAGTACAAAAAAGAAATGTAAGGGAGGAGAAAAGACAGGCCTGCCTGCTCCCAGCTGAAAGGAATTACCAGACTCCTGGCCAGCATTCACTGGGTGAGAGAGAGGTATCTTATATGCATCACCTGGTTCTCCCAGGCTTCCAACAAATGGATGAATTCAAAAAAGGAAACTACATAGGTAGTTCAAGTGCTAAGTTTTAAACACTCAGGGAAGGCAAAACTCTATCGTGCAATACCACCTCCTCACCACCAGGTGGCAGACTTCTCCACTAGGGCCCATACGTGCTCTAGCAAGCACTGAGACAAACAGGGAAAGGAAAAGTGGCCACCACAACCTGAATATACAAGCAGATCACACGACGTCCTTCTTAAAGGGGCCAGCTTCATGGACAAGGACAAATGGGACAGCATGAACTTGAACCCTGGCATGGCTCCGACCAGTCCTGTAAATATTATCAGGCAAGTCACAGCAACCTGCTTAAGCCTCAGTTTCTGTATAAAAATAAGCTGGGAACACCTCTTCCTGTTCAGTGCTTCTGGGGTTAAATAACCAAGCTCCTCACCTAGTGGGGTGGTGTACACCTGCAATCCCAGCACTTGGGCGGTTGAGGCAGGAGGATTGTGGATCTGAGGCCAGCCTAGGCTAAAAGATGAGACTGTCTAAAACAAAAAGTTCCCTGACACGACAGCCCATCAGTAAGTAAGCGTCCTTCAGTGTCACTGCTCGGCAAATCTTGAAAAATCCACTCCAGCTCTTGACGATTCAGAACAATGTTTGTCCCAGATGAGTAACGAATGAAGGTCAACTTTACAAATGATCCCATTTTTGCCATATCTCATGAAGCAAAATATATACATTTATATGCATAAAACCTCTTCATGACCTAAGAATTCTTCTCCTTCCACACAGGCTTATTTCGCTATGATGACCTTAAAGGGTAAAGATATGAAAAATATTTATATTTCTTCCAACCTGCCTAGGACATCAGTTTTTAGTTCCACAATGTAGCAAAAGCCAATAATGGAGTTCAAAAATAAGCACGGCAGTTCAGTGAAAACACAGTAATTCACCAAGTGATTGGTGTGAGATCTTCACCCCAAGTCCTCAGTCTGAGGAGGGCAACATCTGCCCTGCCAACTTCAGAAGCCTAGGCTCCTGACTCATGTGCACCTGTGCAATGCGCCTGGCTGCTTGAACCCAGTGTTCCCCAGGCATACTGTGCCTGCCCGCAGAGCAGCGTGCCCTCACAGCTCCTGGGCTCCTGCCTAGCAGCAACCTGAGAGCTGCAGGCCTGACTGGAAAGGGCAGGGAAAAGGCAGGAAGGAGGAGGATGTACCTTGAGGGAGAGAGATGGCTGGACTTGTTCTGCAGGTTATGAATTTCGCTGAAAATCTCCAAGTTCAAATTCTGCTCCTTCTGCAGTTCACACTTCTGCTCTGCCTGCTGCTGTTGGAGGTTCTCCAGCATTCTGCCATCAATCATCTCCGGCGTGAGAGGACGCAGGATTTTCATGTGTTTCACATAATGCACTTGGTGCAAACGTGAAAAAGTCATTTCTTCTTCATCAATTCCACCCTTGGGCTTGTTCAAGCCATCCTGGGCCCCTTCTGTCCCACACAGAACTGTGATAATGGCCTCACTGCACTGAGCATACTTCTGAAGCTGAAAGATGAAGTTCCGGCAGCCTTCCAGCTCAGCTTGCAAGTCACGGATTTTCTGTTTTAAGTGTTCTGGATCATCTGAGATCTTGATGTTCTCAGACTGGTCAGTCCCAATTGCACTGACTTTAACAGAAAACTGGCTCTTGGAATTCAAGTAAGTGGCTACAGAGGCTGGGTCCTGAAAACTTTCAGAGTTCTCGTTACATGCTGGTAATATGGCAAGGTCAACAGTTGGGCAAATTTCAGAATCTGTAAATCAAATATTTATGTCAGTTTGTCAGTGTCTCTTCTATTGTAATAAACCCCTTCCATTGCCCTAGCCTTGGCTGAGTCAACAGTAGTGCAACAGCCCCCCAACCAGCTGCTCTGCCCCTAGTGTTTTCTGTGGTTGAAGTCTGAATCTTAAATGTCCCCCGAAGGCCCCAAAACCTATGGCACTATTTGGGAGTTTTGCTACTTCAGAGGGTAAGGCCTAGGTGAAAAAAATTCAATTGCTGAAGGGGCCACTGAGACCCGGCCCCACTCTGCTTCCCAGCCACCAGGAGGTGAACAGCTTTACTCCACTACATGCCCCCCCACACCATGATATTCTGCCTCAACATAGGCTCAAGAGTGACAAGTCCACGCAGCCATGGGCTGATACCTATGAAACCATGAGCCCAATCTTTATCATCCAAGTTGATTTTCTTGGGTATTTGTCATGTTCCAGAGAGCAGCCTAACTCCCCTCTTACCACTCAATCCATTCCCTTTCTTAGAGTCAATGTCTAAAGAGTGCATTTAACCATGACAAGATGGTGATACACCTAAAACTCACTGGTACTCCCACTCTACTGACCCCATGATCTGGTGGGAGGCAACCTGCCCTGACACAGCCCACAGAAAGTCCCTACAAAGTGCCTGTGACACGCTGCACACACCATGCTGCTTCATGCTTCCATGATCCTACATGTGTTGTGCTCTAAACTCCTTCTTATCCTTCAACACTTAGGTCTAATTTGACTTCTGTGAGCTTACCTCCAAATCATGTACTGTACTACATGACACGCTGTATGCTGGACGAGACTAGAGTTGGCTGACTTATTTACAAATCAATTAGTTACTGAGTGCCTCTCTCCCACATCACACTGTTCATTCCTAACAGCAGGGACACAGCCATCCGTGCCCACATTCTCGGTGTTTCGGACAGCCTTCAGCACAGACCAGGAGGTCAATAAGGCTAAGAAATTCTGAGGCACTCATGATGGAACATCAAAGAGCGCTCACTCTAAGCATCCACAACACATCTTTCACATGTCCACGCCCATCAGTTTCCAGGATGTGCCATCAGGGCCCCTCTGTGAACTGTTTCACTGACTCTCACCTGTCATTTTCTTCCAGTCAGCTTAAATCCCAAGCTGCAGCCCATGTTGTGTGCCAGGTAGCAAGATGACAGATAACGCAGAGGCAATATAGAGCTTTGGGCCAGAGAGCAGAGGGTCATACGTAGCCTTGCCACATGCATGTAAGTAACTTCCTACCTCAGAACTTCAGTTTACTCTGTGTGGTTGTAGTGAAACCTGACTCCACAACTCTGTCCTTAACCACTATCCCCCACTGTGCACCATGGCTAACAAGCTAAACGCCATGTTAGAAGTTGTTTGAAAATGTAAGAGGTAGCAGAAGATAGTAGGACAACCCCATCTTTGAAATCCAATAGCCCTAGTCTTCAATACTGGCTTGCATAACCTTACTTGGCAAATTAGTGAGCCTCTCTGAGCCGCCATTAGCTTCACATGCAAAGTGGAAAGAACACTATTGAGAAGAGTTGCGTGTATTTGTTAAGGTTAAACAATATCTGCAAAAAGGCTAATAGGGTGTCTGCAACAGCAGTAAAAGAACCCAGTTGACATGAATACCCATTGCTTCCCTAGAACCAACCATTCAAAGAATGAAGATAATGCCCATCACAGGATGCATTCAGGCAAAGGCTGGCCAGAGGACTGCTCCAAGAGCAGCAATGTGAGCAGGCTAGGAGGGCTCTCAAAAAGACAACCATACTAACAGTCTGTCGGCCTACATGCTCCAATTTGACCCTTGTAGTTGCAAGTCCACTCCTGTCTCTGTTCACAATGCAAACATCGTATCATTTCATTTGAGATCATGAGATCCAATGGATGTTTTACCAATACTGAACCTGTAGGGTGACAGGCCTCAGGACATTAGACCAGGCTTTTTTTTTTTTTTTGGTCTTTTTTAGACAGGATTTCCCTGTTGCCCACCAGCT